AGGGGTCCTCTTTGCCCCTCAGACGAACCAGACCACAGTCTATGGTAGAGAACAATCCACCCCACACAGCAAAGCTTCCTGGGAGGGTAGAAACACAAGAGGATAATTTTTTATTTAACTCCAGACAGATCTCCGTCTTTGACTTGCAATGGATATAGGAGAGGCTGAATATGTAGATAATTTGGTTGTCTTATGTGACATGCATATTGTTTTATTTCTTCATTCACTGAGTAGCACCTTAATTCATAATGTATATAGTGGATACACCTACTTCTCAGGATTAAGCATGATCTAGCAGATTTGCACCCATACATTGTACGGTCTCACCTCCTATCTGTGGGGCTCGTATTCTCACAGCGTTCCCGCTGCTGCTCAGTCGGTGCCGCAATCCCTGCGTACACATACAAACGCCGTATGGTTACCCGACCGCTGCGTCCCAATTCCCAGCCGACCAGAGGCCAAGCGGTCGACACTCACCGCCGGGGCATTTCGGAAGCCCTTGACAGCCTGGAAAACGCCCCCGCCGATGGCGCCCATGGTGAAGGCACCGCCACAATCATCCACGATCCTCCATGGGCTGGATCAATGGCATTAACATGTAACAATTCACCAGTATTTTGTTTACTAAAATAGAAGTTAAACCAACATGCTTGTAGAAGTATTTGACAAAGACAGAACATGTAGTTTCGGACGGCTTGTTTGTGTGTCTAAACATCAGTACATTACGGGGTGTTTGTTTGTTCAAAAAAGGCTTTTGTTTAACCTTTTAAATGTACTTTTAGAGTATAAAAAGCAACACTGTTAAATAAGATATTTTATTCGTGTCGAAATACAACAGTAAACGGTGTATAGTCAGTCTGTGGATAATTATCTCAGTGACACCCCCCCCCCAAATAAGAAAAACAATCAGGGGGAAATACAGAAAAATAGCCCGGCCAAATCCAGTCGTTTAAAATGGCGCCACACTATAAATTAGTGAAGTGTAGTGTCTAAACGCGACAACAAGTTATGAGCATTTCAATCGTGTCATTTGAACCGCTAACAAATGCTTCAATATGCTACTTTACCAAGGTTCTCGGACGTATTCATCCATACTGTTTGTCACGTCACATAATATCGTCATTAAAAAGAGACGGAAATAGATGGCGCGCTGTTAGGACACGCATCACGTGTAGGACTTAGTCCAATCGAAGTCGGGAGATGGCTACCGATACGGAATGCGTAATCAAAACGCGTTTTATGTGGATGCACTGAGCGGATCGGCGTACTATATGCAGATCTGCTAAGTGATGTAGATATGGTTTAAGCACTTGGTAAAATTCAATTTCTTTTTTTAAAACAAAATTCGGCAATTTAATTTAATATTCCAGACGTGTAAACTATTTGTAATAGTTTAGTGTCGTTATCTTCCACCCAAGCAGACCCTGTAACAAGGTAAATAACGCATGCCTGAGGTTTTGTGATGAGGTGTAAATATACGTTATTGCAAAAAACAATCAGTCTAAACTATGAGTTTGCTGGGATGTGCCTTATTAATTTACTGGAATAACTGGAAAGCATCATATTCAGAAAAATCTAATTCGCGCCTGTTTAAATTATTCTCTTTTAATTACTGTTTTTATACAGTCAATGCACTTAATGGTTTAAATGTATTTAAGGAATGCTTGTAGTAGCTTTGTATTTGAGTAGGTTTTGTCCCTAAGGAAAGATGCCCCTGCCGCCAGCCTTGCTAGCTCGCCTGGCCAAGAGAGGCATCCTGAAGCACTCAGAACACGGTTAGGCTTCGACGCCGTAGTGATCCCTTCCTCCATGTGCACTGGTGTGACTCGTACGCGCACCCTTATTTCCGTAATCACCTGCATTTCAATCAAACTGTTATTTCTTTAGAGGCAGAAGAGGAGATCATTGCTGAAGATTATGACGACAACAACGTGGACTACGAGGCCACCAGAGTTGAGAATTTACCAATCAACTGGTACAAAGTATTTGATCCTGCTTGGTAAGAGATCTTCGCTCATGATTGTGCCATCAGCCTTTAGGGGGTAGCTGTGTTTTTGTCTTATGATCTTCCCATACCCAAGTTCCCTGTCTAGTCTAACCAATGTCTGATCAGTTGTAGGAGTGAACTGTGTAAATCAGGGCTATTCAGATCTCAGTCCTCAAGGTATGAGCACTGCTGCTTTTCAAGCCTTCCTCTACCAGGGAGCCGGGTGTGAAGCCTCTGTGGCCAGTCCAAATTAGGAACTATTAAACTGCCTGTTAGAACTGAAAACAAGGCCTGGATTCGGATCCAGGGGCCAGATTCAAAGAGCTCTGGTATAAATAATGCATGAAATTAAAGCCTGAAAATTAGCAGAATTTACTGTCCATTAAAAGTAACACTGAAGGGACTTGTTTGACTATGTAGGCTGCCATTGTTTGCAGCTGACTGTACTGCGTGTGTAGAGTCCTGTGGGGTGTACTACAAAGTGAGTTTCACATACACAGAGATAAGTCAATAAATACAGGTGAAGTAACCCTGATCACCACGGTGCTATTTTGGTGGTTGTCAACTTATTCTGTTGACTTGGGGTTTGTCTGTGCATGTTCACATAAGAGGGGCAGGGTGAACATTGAAAACCAGGCCTGTGGAGAGACTTTTTAAGGGGCAGATGCTTGAATGGGTTAATGTTGCCGACCGTGGGATGGGAAGTCCCCCTGGAAAACAAAAAACTAATTTCCGGTTTGCTAAGTTGGTGATTGTCGGTGACTGAATATGGGCACTCAGGATCTCAAAAGGGAGATAGTGTCAATGGTTTAAGCAAAAGGGGCAGGTGCACCCCCAGTCTGATTGATTGTAAGCTTATATACAGACTGTGCTTGTTCTGTACTTTTCCCTCTCCCTCCAGTGGCCTGCCTTATTACTGGAATGTGGAGTCCGACCTGGTGTCCTGGCTCTCTCCAAATGACCCGAGTGCTGTCATCACCAAGGCTGCCAAGAGACTGAGACGTATGCTTTCTAACTGGCCTTAGATGGATATGTAAATAGCAATAGGATGGAGAACATTTTTGCCTAATGAAAAAACAAAAAAAGTGTCTCTTGAATGTGGTACTCTTTAAAAGTTTGGTTGTTAGCATTTTTTAAAAAATGAATTAAGAACTGTTTTTTTTCTGTCAGCTGAGATTGGCGAGGAACGAGGGGAGAGGCAATTTGAGAAGCCAGACAGAGAACGAGAAAGGGAGGAAATCAGGGAAAAGAGGCTACAGCGCAGGGAAGACATTGCCCCCTACAGCAAGAACAAGAGAGGTACGTGGAAAAATAAGGCTTGTTGGACTGTTGGTGTAGGGAAACTCCAGAAAGGTGTAGTACAAAGCAAATTTTAAATACCTAGAGTTAAGTACCTTTATTGCTGTGATCAGCCTTATGGTACTGTGGCAGTGGTTATCAACTAAGTAAGTTGACTTGGGGAAATAAGCATCAAGAGACGTCATTAAGTCAGTTAGCCCATTTCATAGTACATCCCTTTGCCCTTAAGTTTGTTTCTGTATGTTGTTTCTGTATGTTTAAGTCATTGCTGAGTTAAAAAGCTGATCTGGGATCAGAAACCAGCAGGACACAACAAGCTGATCTTAAAACCGCATGTCGTAATGTCTGGCAGGTCGAGAGAGAGAAGAGATGGACCCGATGGACCCAAGCGCCTACTCTGACGCCCCCAGGTACTGCTCCTTGCGGTTTCAGAAGAACCACATTCTTCTTCTCATGCATTCCCACAACAATCTTTCTGTATTGTTTTGAGAATGAACTCATTCATTTCAGTACAAGATGGCCACAATCCAACAAATGTGAAAACACTTCAAGTGAATAAACAGTACTGAGTGGAAGTCAGACTGGTACCAAATTGAAATCCTTCTCTTTCCGTCTCCCCTAGGGGAACCTGGTCCACTGGGCTGCCTAAGAGGAATGAGGCCAAAACAGGCGCCGACACCACAGCGGCTGGACCCCTGTTCCAACAAAGGCCGTACCCGAGCCCCGGGGCTGTCCTCAGGGCCAACGCAGAGCTCACCAAGGCCAAAGAGTGAAGGGGAAGACGGACTGCAAACCATGCAGAGCTCTCGCACACCACTGGACTTACTACTGTGATGGCGTCGGTCACGGAAGGAACGGCCCGGTGGGGGGGGGACTTTGGGCTGTGGGGATTATGTATGTTTGTGTTGGCTTGTTTTAGGATTAATCTTGACTCCAGAAGTTAATTTTTGTATGTAAATAAACAATCCAGACAAAGAGCTACCGGTTCTTTTAAACTGTGCACCAGTTCAACCACCCTTACACTGAAGTAGTCTGGTCATAAGGAGGCCTCTCCCAGAATGTTTCTTCTGAAAACAATGTTTCATTTTAGCTATTGTAGCACAACATAATACCACCTATATTAGGGTGACCAGATAATCCATGTCAGGGAGGACACTCTGAGCTAGGACAGGAATTGTAAACTACCATTTAAATTAAAAGGACCCGAATTTCACTTGAGCAATGAGTTCTTGCTGTGTGCTGATTGGTCAGTCTCCTATAATCATGCATGTGTCACTAATGCTAATGTGAAACAGCTGGATGAGTCTTTCAGTCAAGGAAACAAACCAGTCAAAGCACAAGAAGAGCTGAACTATTTAGCCGAGCACAGGAGCCTTTCAATTTGAAAGTAGTTTGTAAAACCCGAAGTAGCTCAAAGTGTCCTCCCTGACATGGATTATCTGGTCACCCTAACCTATATATTTCTAAGCCGTTCTGTGTTTCCTTTGACTCCAGTTCTCATATTTGAATCAGTGCTGCTGGTCACTGTGGATCCAGCCAGCCTTTTTAAATTGTACTGAAACATTTTAATCCCTCATCCGTCTCCCTCAAACCTGCACCACCATGTCACCTCATTGTGCTGAATTTTATGAAGGTGTAGAAACAAAGCCCACCCTCTGTAACCCGTGACACTGACGCCAGCTCTCAATTGGACTGTACGCCTCACCAAGTCGTGTGGTCTTCACATCATTTTATTGCAAAAAAGGAAAATGAGCACATACAACGTTACTATGATCCCACAGGGTCTTTCTTTAAAAACACACCTAAAGGACAAGAAAGGTAGAAAAATTGTCAGTTTGTGTACATAGAAAGCTGCCGTCCGCTAGGCCCATTTGGGGAATTCAGGGAGTTGAGCTGCACACCATCGCCCAGGATATGTACAGGAGCTGTCTGCTGCTCAGGCTGGCCCCTGCTATAATGAGATTTCATTTCAGGTGCACCATGTTCTTCTTTGTGTCTGCTGGATGTTTCTTACTTTCAGCCAATTTTCAGCAGCCAGTCAGCCCATCCTCAGTTCCAGCTTAAAAATCACTTCTCTGTCATGATGGCACCCCCCAGGTCTACCGTGCCTGGTCCTCTGCTGTTCCTTTTGCCTGCATGACCCTTGGAAGAACAGCCCAGGTGGTCGAGACGGGTCCACGAAGAATGGCGGATTTCATAAACAAAGACACTGAGGTGGCGGGGTGCTGCAACGTCCCCAGTCACGCGTAGCCCCCTCCCACGTAGTGGCAGATGGAGTCATAGTCCAGTGTGTAGATCTTCTCCTCGTGTCGGTCCAGCTGCACCATGGCACGGCAGCGCTCCTTGTCCCTCTGTAGGATCCGGCCCACCTGCCAGGTGGAAGTTGGCAAAGTGTTATACAATTCTACAGGAGAACATCTAATGGATACTAGTGACGGCCAATAAAAGCTTCATGAACCATTTGCTGTATTTTCTGATCCCACTAGATGGTGCTCTCTATTCATAAAAGGGCTTAATATATGCCCCAATGAATGCCAAGACCAGCGGGGGTCAAAAAATATACAGAGAATGGTCCATGAAGCTTCATTTAGCCATCACTAACAGATACTATTTTTGTTACTAGGCAAAGGGGAATTCTAGGAGCAGCACTGACCTGTCCACGATGTTCTCCCAGGACCACCATTATGCAGTCTGATTCACTCTTGGGCACCATTGTCTCCAGCATCTCCTGTTTCACACCTGTGGGGGGGGGAGTGTATGCATATAGGAATGCATGAAGACTTCACATGGCTGTGTGTGACCAACATGGTCAGACGTGTGCTGTGAGTTACGGAACGCTCACCATCGAGCAGCCTGCCCTCCTCCGTGCGGCATACACAGGTCCGTGGAGTGAGCACATCTTCCACTGTCATCTGTGTGCACATGCCAGTGTGTCACTCAGTCACACTCACAGGAACCCTGTCTGCATGCTGAGTCTTCTCTAATGCCCCTTACCTTGGAGTTGTAATACTTCCCCCCTTTGAAGGTCTTGTCAATGAAGCGTACACGGAGGTCCCTCTGCAGCCAGGTGGGGGTGGACAGCTCCTGACGCGGCAGCTTCACTGGGGGGGTCTTCTCCCTGGGGGTGAAGGGGATGGGGGTTAATGGGCTTTCGGCGCTATGGTTTGTGTCCAGGGCTGTCACACCCCATACCTGGAATCGGCATGTCTCCGCTTGTCTTTCTTCTCTTTGGACCTTTGTTGCTGTTCGTTTCGTTCTGCCCTCTCCTCCCTCTTCTTCTCCTTCTTTCTTTCCCTCTCCTTCTCCTTCTCTGCCTCCATGTGGGCTTTGCTGTGGCGACCTGCAGCATGGTGGGGACAGGGTACTGAGGCAACACACTTGACCTAAGTCACAAATCATGTTTTCCAACACAAAAAAAACCATCCTGACCTGTAACACATCACTACCCTAGTCAATTACCTTTCCTCTTGTACTGCCATCACAAAAACCTCAAATATATTCTGTTCACCAATCTTTAAAAGAGCGGGATCATCTCTGACACCAGTCCCTAGATGAAGCTCATGGGAGTTTTACTTACACAAAAATGTTCTGAGGGTAGAAGGAAAAATGATTGGTTATCTCCCTGAACCAATCAGATTGCAGAGGAGGTGGGTTCAAGTAACTACAGGAGACAGGATCAACCAATCAGATGTCTTGGTACCTCTTCCTCTAGTTGCTTGGACCCATCTCCTTTATAATCTGATTGGTTATCTCTCTGAACCAATCATTTTTCGCACTGCCCACAGAATATTTTTGTGTTTGTAAAACCCCTAGTGCCCAGAGGTGGCTCCACTCACTGAGGTCCTTGGCATTCCTGTCGTATTCCTTTCTCCCGACCAGCCGGATGTTATACTGGCTGACAGTCACGGTCTTCCCGCCGATGGCCAGCTTCACCATAACTCGGGCGTTGTCAGGATCCATGCCTTCCACCTGTGGCCCAGCATGAGTGAGTGGGTGTCATAGTCACATGACCAGAAACTCTGTGGTACAAACTCTAAGAACTTCTGAATGCGAGAAGCTTCAAAGCCCACAGTGGGTGGGACAGCTGGATGCTGTCATTCACCGGCTGTTTTAATCACCCTCCTGCTGCTTCCTGACGGTACACATCAACCCCACCCACCAGAGGGTCCAAAGCCTCATTTCTGAGATTTCTCTGTCTGGGATTTTTGTGGCTCTCACCCGGTCAGAGGCTGTAAAACTACGCTGCCGGGCCAGACTCACCTTTCCATAGTGATCTTTGTGAGCTCCTGCCTCCAGAAGCACAGACGCTCCCGGGGCCAGAACCAGCTCCTCCTCGGACCGATCCTCCCCAGGTTTGGGAGGCCGTCGGGGGCCACTGGGCTCCAGGTCTTTCAGGGCTGAGCGGTCAGCCCCCAAACCCAAGCCTTTGGGCCGGAGCTGGTGTTCAATGGGTTTCACAACCCTGCAAGGAGGGGGAGGAAAGAAAGGCTCCAGGAACGACAGCTGGCAGCTGGTTGTGACAGCGGCGGGGGGGGGAGCAGACTTACTGTTTGAAGGTCCTGCCGATTCCCTCGTCCTCCTTCCAGCCCATGCCCTTCAACATGGCCAGGCCATATGCCTCGACGGGCACACTCTCATAGTCGGCATCTGTGGACTGACAGCCCCCATGCAAATGGTCAGACACACCCTGTCCCATCCCCCAGAAATGCAACAAAGTGCCTGCAAGCAGAACTGGTTTTCCTGGGCCTATTACCACTAAACAGCATTTATAAATTCATAATACAATCAAATTTAAACTAGAAAGCAATGTGGATAGCTGGCTGTTTCAAACATTTCACCAACATTTGGGGGACAGTTTTTTTACATAGTTCGGGAAGACCGTGTTTTTTTAAATAAGGCTTTGCCACAGAAATGTCGCGAGACACTCAGGTGTTTTAAATAGACTGAAAGCCCATTTTAAAACAAGTGTTTTGCAACGTTGGAATGTTTTAACAAAGGTTCATAAGCTGACAGAAGACAAGCAGAAATTTAAATAGCTGGGAGCTGACAGAGACCACCACAGACGTTCAAATTCTCTGATGACAATTCAGAAGAAATACAGGCAACCTCTGAGAGACTGCAGAGAATTCAGAAAGGAGGGTCTTTTGTCTAAAGAGCAAAACAGATTCCCTGGGTGCTTCAGAACTTTAATGACAAAAGCAGATTTTGGAAGGAACTTTTATAACAGAAAATTAACAGATGACAGCAGACCAGAAGCCATATGATTTAAGGTTAAGTAATGACTTAATGCTGATTAATGATGTAATTTAATGTTGCTTTACTGCTTCTGACAGCTGAGTAATAAACTGAGGATGCAGTCCGGCCATCTTCTGAAGTCACGGCAGAAATTAAGCCCCCATCCCTAGAGGAAGGGGAGATTTAAAAGAGCTGTTGGGGCCACGTGATGAAGACAGGGAGTGATGGGAGAACTTGTCTCGTACGTCCGCATTGGGAGTGGGAAAATTAGCTGACAAAGCTATTTCAGGCATTAGCACACGGTCAATTCTGGTTAACTTATTAGGTGTGAGGAATCGGCATCTGAGCCTTGGACCCAGATGCTTCCAGCAAAGCAGAACAGTGCAGCCTGAGCTGCACATGTACAGAAGGGCAGTGGCAGTGATTTCTCTCCTCCCAGTTCATCTCAACTCTGACTGACTGGTGGAATGGGATGGAGGTCGGCAGCATCCCTGCTGCTGGCACCTGAGGCAGTCAGTTAAGTTAATCTGCACCAGACTTACCGACTCAGGCCGCAAGTCGACCTTCACCCTGTCCCCATCCTCGAACCCCTGGGGTACTTGATTCTGCATCAGCAAGGGGATGGTGAGGTCAAGGACCTCCTGGGTGCCATTCGTCCACTGATCCAGCTGCCTCCGGGACTCTGTCAAAGGAGAGCAGTGGAAACATCTCCATCATCTCAAACACCTGCTAGACTCGCCTATGATTAAAACGGCCTAATTTTCCTTTGAGTCACTTTCGTACAGTATCACCAAAACTGAACATCTGTGAATTAAATTTTTCAACATTTTCTGTTTATATTAAGCACTGGAAATGGTCTCACGGACACTCTGAAAATGTGATAGCCTGTATTATATGTACAAAAATATTAATCAAGGTTATGTTCGGTAAGTACCCAGTAGTGCGGACACCTAATCACATGACCAGAGTGAGAGGAATATAGGAAATACATGCATGTGCTTGTTTACAGAGAAATTATTAATTTTTCCTCTTTTCGTAATAGTAACTTCCAACTGATTAAGATTTTTGGATTTTTAAGGTCAGATTAGTATTTAATTCATATCTGATCAAGACCTGACAGAAGGAATGAACAACACCAACCTTCCACAAGTTCTTTGACGGCTTGGGATTCTACGGAGTCCAGCTCCTGGCTCGGAGGACAGTCTTTACTCCCCGGTGGCTCCTTTTTGGGCTTCTCCTGCCTGACCCAGCGATTCTTAAGGATGAGGGGAATAACCAGCTCCTTTTTCTGCTCCACGGGCTTGGTGCTGGGCAGTAGAGTATGACAGATATCATCAAGGAACAGCAGAGCTTAACTAACAGCTTGTTCCATTTTATACAGTGATTGTCATTCGCGCAAGAAACCTTACTGCAACTACATGATCATGCAGATGTCCGCTGTCAAGTAAACGGGACAGTTAAGATTTTATGAAAGGACGTTTTGTCCATTTGTAAACTGCCTAATAAGAATCTCAGACACGAAAGAGCTGGTCGACAGAAAAGTGACGGAGCTTCATTCCTGCATCGCAATTACAGACTACAAAATAGTGCGATTAAAGGATATACAAAACACTGAACCGAAGGGGCTCCGGCTCTCTGGGTGCAACGGAATAAAGAAAAGACCCAGCCACTAATTACAGGACGTCCACTGCGTGCCCAAAACTGCTATTTACTCATAGTTTTACTTTCAGACATAACCCAGACTCTCATGGTCACTTTTCCATCTTAGGGAACATTTCCGTGGATTGTTCTGCCGCCAGAACTGCATGTATATCCTCGGACACTGTCATACACCACATTTGGAGCCGTGACGCAAAAACGCAACTAGCGTAGTAAAATTGTCAGAATGTTTCCTTAGCTGAAGAGCTGACTTTTTTTCTTTTTTACAGTAAAGTTTGTTTCATGTTTACGTATATGGCCGTTCTACACTTTATCGCTTACTACACAACGACTCAGGACGTTTTCATAAGAGAATACTCAGGAACCTCAGCCAGAAAGTCTGGTTTACCGCACTGCCAAGTAGCCATAAAATAAATGCCCAGTTATTTAAACGTGCTACTTGTGGCTTGTACTATTAATGATTCTGAACGCCTACACTATATATTAGCTGGATTTATGTTTAATATAATATTGTAGCGGTTATTACCTCTTTAGCTCTTTCTCCTCCACCCCAGTCAAGTAATCCCGCTCTTCTCTCTCAGATTCGTTAAGGTTCGAGCTGGTTTTAAACTTGCTTGACGTCTTGCTAAACCCAAAAGAGATGGGTGCCGGTTTTTTGTCCTCTCCATCCTGCTGACAACGAGGATCGACTATACCTTGGTCAATACCATCACCGTGTTTCTCTCCAGCCTTCGACGCCATGTTTACGAAAGCTCTGCGACAAAGTGCCGGTGCTGAAGGCTTCTGGGACAAGTAGTCCTCCGCGGCGGCGCCGTCCTTTCATGTTCGAGATGCGATACTTAAGAGAATACATCTCCCAGCATACAATGTGCGAAAATCCCATTCGAATTACATCGCATGAAGTCGCAGAGAAACAGCAACGTCAGCGTAAATGCAGAAGCCCTTTGAAAGGTTGATACAGGGGCAATATGCGTATTTAGAAACTGGTCATTTTTTCCATTTCTCTTATATCTGGAATGATGCAAAATGATGGACCATTTGCTGTTTATTTGCAATCAAATTAACTACCACACCAAAATCTGCAGCTGCAATGCACCAGTGCAATTCGATTTGTCCACTTTCTTATCAAATCAGACTTTTTTCTCGAAGCTCCATTTCGCTGCAGTTAAATGCAAAACAGAACAGGGTACATATTTCAGATTATGGAAAGAGCACTTAAGCATATTTTACAGAAATACGTTATGCCACAAAATCATTTAAACTGAGTTGTAATCGAATCAGGGTAAAGAAATTGACCATAATTATGCAGCTGCTATTTCATGGTGACGACTAAGGGTGAGTGTAAGTAACGTAGCAAGATTCTTCCTAGGACTTAAATCCAACCTCATAAATCATAAATACCCAACTACTATACCATTTTAGTTTGGTGCTCTATTCACTCCATTTTCTTTTTCCAATTGAAATAACCTCAGGTCAATAACCAAACCAACCTCCTCACCTTGGTGGAATGCATCTTTTCCTAGACTCCGCCCACCCAACAATCCCTCCCAGTGCATCACCACTCCACTCAAAACAGTGAGTATACTTTTCTCTCCTGCTCTTGGCAGTGCTCAAAATCCCCGGGCTATGGATGAGTTATAAAGTGGAACTCTGCTTGAACTGTGTCCTGTACAGTGCCCTCCCCACTTTTGTATTTCCTGCTGTTAATTTGTCATGTCTGACCCAGGCAATGCCGTTATGTCCACCTTGTTACAAACCTTAATCGAACGAAATGCTCCCACACCGCAAAGACCATGACACTATTAAAAATGCTTGTCAACTTGCAATTTTGTTGCTTTTAAATGCAACTTATATTTCATCTTTATATTAAAGGAGGTAGTCTTACAGTGTCATCACTGGAGTAAACACTTGTACGGGATGCCAAATGGCTGACGCAGAAGAGGTCTGAATACTAATCAGAAATGTTGCAAATTATCCGCGGAGCCGCCCTTGAGCCACCAGCTGTCCGGCGTGGTGAGGAACAAGAGGTGTGTCTCCTTATCCGAGCCGCTCCACCCAGACATCAGCGGAGCCCTGCCATTTTATAACGGTTTATTTATTCTGCGTACACAAACTATACAAACTACATTAAACTCCCGCTGTCTTCCATAACCATTTGTCCAGGTCGTGTTGAAATTAGTATTTCAAACATAGCAATTCAGGTTGAGATCCTCTCTGTCAACCTTGGAGAAAGGGGGAAACAGTGCTGTCATAGTCCTGTTAGCAACTCACACATAGGACACGGCTGAATAAACACTAAATATGAACTAAACCCACGCCATCACTGTCCCGTCCCGTCGGTCCGTCCGCACCTGTCTCGGCAGTAACGCACCGTCAGGCGTCCACTTCAGTCCGAAGCAGTTTAGCCGACTCAGCTGCATTTCTCTGTGAAATGCGTCTTCCGTCCAACCGAAGAATTTCGTCAAGTCCAGCAGAAATTTCACATGAACGCGGTTCTCTGAACACAGTCCTGGTGCCGAAGTGGCACCCAGCCCAATCCGTTCAGTCTGGGGGCGGTTCTCCTTTTCTTTTTATTCCCTTTCCCTCGCACCCCCTCCCCTTGTCGCTCTTTAGTCTCGGCATCCTTCCCTTCTTCCTATTCCCGGGATTATTGTATGGTGCAGATTGCAACGCGATTTATACATGTGCTCATTTAAAGCGCTGGAAGGCACGGCTACCCCGGTCTTTGGAGGCAGCGGCGATTCCGCGCCCGCGTCCTCCGGCTAAATCCGTACCGTCGTCGTGTTTTGGGTTCAAACCGGTACGGCAGTGATACACTGGGCAAAATACCGGTATCCGAGCGTATCCGCGCTGAATTGCAAAGAGAGAGATAAAAATTCAACGAAGACCCTCCGCCGCAGACGAAAGCCGAAATTATGAGGGTAAGTCCTATGCATAAACACCGACTGATTCATCTGCTCATTTATAATCTTCCCTGCTGTTATTCCATATTTCATATCGATGTAGCGCGTACACATGCATACACTATATAGGCCCGTAGACGTCTCTCTTACTGTATATGTGTGTTTATTACAGTAGGTGTGTTTATGTATGTGTGTGTATTCATGTGTATTTTACAGTGTGTGTGTGTGTGTGTGTGCGTGCATCACTCCATGCGCGCCGCCTCCTGTGTGCCCTGCATTTTGAACATCTTCTAAACTGAAGAACACACAACACACCCGCTGGCAGATTTGTCGTCCCCCCCACTTTTTTTTCTCTCAGATCATCGCTGGTCCCCCGCTCAGCTGTACAGCGTCCCTACCATACAGCGCCCAAACACACCGTCTACCGTGCGCGTCGCTGCTTGCCTCCGGATTACGAACGTTTACTAATATTTGCATTGTTTTATTTATGCGTTTCAGAAAGCAATAAACTAGTATAGCATATTTAAATTAACGATTGCTTACTTTTCAAAAGTAGCAATTAATTTCATCAACCTATAATTTAATTAAGTGACTCTTTGGGGGGCAGGTGCAGTTTAGCCTGGGTCAATGTATATAGACGTGTTAAAACGCCTTTTTTTGGAGCGTATAAATTGCTTGAAAAGAATGTGTGTTTGTCAGCGCCAATACAGGTCAGTATGTTCCGCAAATTTTAGCTTTGGAAATGTGCGTTGTTCGTGTGTGTGGGGTGGGGGACAAGGAGGTGGATGTAAAGTGGGTTTATTCTGACTTTTTGCAAACTTTACATTGTGATGTGAAGGTTAATTGGTTTGGTAGATTTGAGTTGAGTGTTTCCAAAACTAACATAAACGTGAAACCATGAAATTGTATTCGGAATATAAATAGTATATTTTGAACCAGACCTGTTTTTGAATTATAATGACTTTCTATAATTCTGACTGTCTAAAATACGGATTTAACAATATGTTTATCTTAAACCAGATACCTTTAAGTGTTGAAGTATTATTTAATTCCTTCACTACAGTAAATATAAGTCTTTTTTCATTATGACAGGTGTTATATAAGAATTTGGATCGTTTGTTTTCATATCTAAATTTAGTGTAAGCCTCAGAAAGAGTTTGGGTTTGCTTGACTGCGCCTTTTAATGCTTTTAAAAAAACAGTTTTTCCTTTGTGGTGAGACATAAGATGTGTGTCATACACTTCAGAGATGCGCGGAGCTATACGTTCGTGCACATGTGCGCCTATGAGCTCGTACGCATGTTTCCGTTAGGATCATACACGCCGGGCGTGTCCTTCTTCATGTGAAGGAGCTCGTTTTGAAATGACGGATGGTCTGACCCTGGTTTCACACCGTGCTTTGCTGTGGGCTGGGAGAGTCAAGGTTATGGTGGTGCTATGAATCTTTAATTAAGTCTGAGAGACACCGCGTTTTCTGGAGGTGGTGGGTCTGTCTAACGATCCACACCTCATTAGCGCCGTTCCCTACGTTTACAGTTACCTCCGCCACTCCTCCAGTAATTTCTCAGTTATACACCATATTTTAAAGAGGGTAATTTGTTGAAATGGATCTGACACTCACAACCAGTTGTGTTTAGGGTCAGGATTAGGGTTAGTCGCGTCCAGGGGAGTTTCTACCTATTGAAAAGATCAGGGGTTAAGTCAAGTTTACTGGGAGCCTGACTTCTTTTTTTTTGAAGGAGGATAATTGGCATCAGGGCTAAAATACTCTGGACTGTGCTTAAAATACTTGAGGATACAGCCCCGAGTGATCTGACCTAACGACGCCCATGGTCGTGTCCTCATAACCGATTCCTCGTGATATCGCATCAGTACTCTTCTTCATTCATGCTAAGATGCTGCAGAGGTGATTGTGGGGACCTTGGCGACTTACACGGCTTGGTTCGGTACCCGTCACCTCACCGAGTTGACCTTCATTTTTATTAGACCCTATGCCTCATGTCTTGATGATGGCCATATCCATAGCAATGAAATTAAGGATAAACATCACTTTGTGCGGATTTGAAAAATCAACCCTGTGAATATGATTATGAAGTCTTTCGGAGCGGAAAAAGGAGATCGATATCTAGAGGCGGACTGGGAGCAGGCATGGGGAGAGTCACCTTCACCCGTCCTGCTTGACTCAGCAGAACCTGACACAGAGCGACCTGTGCCCACTCACGTTACTGCACCCCTTTCCCCAGTTGTCACATCTCCATTGCAAGTCTCACCGGTGATTCGCTGTACTCCCCTGCCAGTCTCTGCTGAGATACCCGGCCCATCTTCTGCGCATGAGATATAGCGCTTCTTTGATCCTTCAATTACGGAGAAGACTGCCTTGAATAGGCCTCTTACTTATTTCCACAAAGAGATTGTCTTTCCTCAACACTCTCCACTGCCTTTGTGGTAACGTTAAACCTCCTAACATAGATCTGAGAGGAGTTAAAGATGAAGAGGAAGGTCAAACTTAGTCAATGAGCATCTGTAAGTGACTCAGATAAATGCTAAGCAATTATTTCCTTGCATGTCCTTTCTCTGTGTGTGTGTGCTTGTGTGTGTGTGTGTGTGTGTGTGTGTTGGGCTCTCCGGAGGATCTTTCTGCATACCGCTGTATTTAACAATGTCTGTTTACTTTCACTTATAGTGGCTTAGCTGGCACTTATACTCAAACATCCTGCAGTTTATCCCATTCTGGATGTTTTACTGGAGTGATTCGGGTTGAAAAAACTGAAGGGTACAGCATGGCTCCTTCTGGGAGTTGAACCTGCAACTGGCCCTCGTCTTATACGGCTGCAATGCCGAACTTTTATTCCAGCGGACAGTCTCCATGACCCACAACGCAGGACCGTTAACTCGAGATGCCCCCCTGCGATACAGATCGGCAGTCTGACAACGAGATAGTAGATTCATACCGCAGATTGATGCCGATGCTGCCCACAGTGGTTAATCTTTTATTTTTGAGTCTGCCCCTGTTGTCCACCATGTTGACAAGATCGAGATTTCTGATGTATGATCCTGAAGAGGGCTTGAAGTCTTTTGAGCTAGGAGATCTAGGCCTGTGAATCCGTGAAGCTCTGTGGGGTAAAACCCAACGTGCCCACCAGGGGCTGCGTCATTCTGCAAGCGCAAGATCTGCGTGTGTCGTATGAGAGTATTGGCTGACCTCCAGGCCCTTCTCAGTGACAGAATACATAAGGCACATGTGAGAAAGTCAGGTTGTGGGTAGAGTCATAAGTGTGCCGTGGAATTCTGGATAACTGACAAGGTGGAAGAGTTCTCTCATCATTCTAGCGCGCTAAAATTATGACCTATGATGGATTTTGGTAGACGTCTGTTGTGACAGAACCACGTACAAGTTCTCGTGTTACACTACCAGTGCTACTCGCTGTACTTAAAGAGCTTAAAAAGTTGAGTAGTTTATAAACTGTAATGTGTGTAAAAGCTTTCCTAAAAGAATCAATAGTTATTAATGAGTTAGAGCATAGGGAGCAGACCAGACACATCTGAGATGGAAGCATGGCGACATTGCCCTTAACTCAGCCTGGTTATGAGCTCCGAGTCCAGTAAGACAGTGGTAGATCGTGAAGGAGGACATGGTGGCATCGGACAGATAGAGCGGAGATCTTTGCCTGTCAGATCGTTTGACAGGAGACGCTGACGGATGTTTACTGGCCCTGACAGTACGTCTCACCCAAGGACCCTGCGGTTATTAATAGGAACCGGGGCACAGTCACTTCGTAATCGTGGCCCACTGTTAGATTGTTTTACGTACAGGGTCATGCTTTTTTCATGTGAGTGTCAGGAAGGGATGGAGGGAGGCGTTCCCAGTTCCCCTTTTAAGGGGAGGCCTGGCAGTGTATGTGGCTGCCTGCTTATCAAGGACTGGCTCCTTTTGTGAATTTTAATGGAATACGAATGCCGGGCTATTTCCATTAAGCCTAACTGGGCTGCTTTGTTTACCTATAATAGTTTTGGTGGTCAGACCTGGCTTGAGACAGGTCTCCCCGCTGCCCTCATTCCGGCTTGGCTTGTGGAGTGAATACCAAGCTAGGTACCTCCGATTCGATCCCGGAATGATCTGTAACATGGTTGAAGTGTCTTTCTAGGCCAGGGTCTCCAACTCCGGTCCCAGAGAGCTACTGTCCAGTATGTTTTCCATCCTACCTGGCTTCTGATGAGCCACACCAGTTCTCAGGTAAATACCAGGAACAGGTGTGGGTCATCTGAAGCCAGGTAGGATAGAAAACTTACTGGACAGTAGCTCTCCTGGACTGGAGTTTGGGACCCCTGTTCCAGTCGCTTCCCTGGTTTGGTTTCCGCAGCAGGGATGTTTTCTTTAGGTGCTTAGGTGTGGTGCCGAAACGGGTGGATCACAGAGGCTCTCAGGCTCACTGACAGCGTCTCCGCTTTGCACGCTCACTCAGCTTTTCTGTCTCACAAGAAGAGCCCGATTCCTCCACGACTCCACCCTCTCACACTTTGCCATCGTTCTCGTATGCACTGTGTACGCGGCAAGAGAGAATGTGGAGGCTTTATACGAAGGGCCGGTATATAGGATGACCTTCAGGACTCCTGAAACTGCAGCCTGAACATAAGTGTCTGATATCCCGTATAAAATGTCAACAGGGAGCAAGCACAGGGAATAGTGATCCGCTCATAGTGCATCGAAGGGAGGAGCAGCGGAATCAGAGACCCGGCGGTCAGCACTGTCCACGCTAAAGGTCAGCACTTTACCCCCCCCCCCGCCCCCCCACCATTTTCGTAAACATCGTCTCCATCTGGCTCTGTGGCTCTCCTGGCGGCCTGCTGTCGTGCACAAGCAGTTGCATCTTCTATCCCGTTTCATTGCCCGCTTCCGGCGAGGGTCGCATGAGCCGGAGGGATTTCGGCCCTTTGATGGCCCCCACGCCCCCCCTCCCTTGTGTAAAGTGTGCAGGGTCACCGGTTTATCTGGCCTACATGCGTGTGCTGGGGCGGGGGTACAGAGGTCCCTCAGAGCACCCTGAAATGAACCCAAGGAGAACTGGGAAAGTCACCAGTTTAACCAGTCAATCTGTTTTTCGGAACATGAGTGGAACAGCTCATTTTTAGTTTCATAATTATTTGTGGGGGTAATATGTTGTGTATGGTGACCCATATTCACTACAAAGACACATTTGGTATTAAAATACAGAATTTTTCTCTTTAATTGGTTGCTGATATTCTAAGGGAAATGCAGATGGTGACAGGGAAGGGCAGCATTTCTCACAGTGTGGTGTGACTGACACCAGGGTGCCCTGGAGAAGCTCGGCAGGGAGACGGATTGGTAGGCGCGCGCCTCTGAGCACACGGCCCATCTGTGTGTGTGTGCGTGAGGGGACGTGGACACGCGCCGCAGACCGCCTCGCAGTGGGATTGAGGGGGGGGAGACGGAGAGCGGGAGGGGAAGGTCAGGAGATGGTGTACGGTGCGCTCGGTAAACACGGCGCAGCCGCCGGAGGCTGCCCCCAAACGGCAGGCGGTGCTGACGCGCAGCAGAGCTGCCTTCTCACCACGCCGGCTGCGGGAACATAAATAAACGGGAACGCCGCTGGAGGCTGCGGGACGTCTGGACGGGATGGCAGTGCGGGGGCGAGCGCTCGGGTCCGTGCCAGAGCATGAACCGCAGGCGGCTCGCACCGCTGAGCCAAGACCGGGCCGGATCGGTGACTCGGCCGCTCGCTCGCCTCTCCGCAGCCAAACGGGCCGCGCTGACGGCCGCGGCTCCACGTTTTCGGAGGACTGGCGCGCTGGCCGGTCACTCGGGCGAAGCGGCCGGGTGTCCAGCCTGCTGCTCAGCCAGCCCAGGCCAGCGCGGAGCGCTCGGCGGCTCCACACCACGCTTACAGAAAGGACGTCTCGATTAGCGCGTGGTGACAGGCACGCTAATAAACACAGACTCGCAAATCTGCGGCGCTTTACTCACACATGGCTGTGGCGGAGGAAGGAGGAAAACGTGAACGTGAAAACACTGTCGTTTTAGACCCGTTACCCCTGATGGGTTGTTGGTGCGTACAATAAGGTCAAAACAGACATTAAGCACAATTCGAGAAATTTCCATTTAGCTTGCCTCATGTTTATCAGTTACATCTATTCAGCTGTGCAGTCAATAAACATTAAAATGTGAAATCAGTATTACAGATAGTTCTCTTTATCTTTTCTCTTATCTTCTACATCTTTCTGTACCTTCATCCTTTTCCTCCCAGCTTCGCTTCTCTCTTTCTCGCTCCCTCTCTCTCTCTGTCTCTCTCGCCCTTCCTACATCACCACATTAATCTCCACACCTTCAGCACGCCTTGGCCCAGTGTGGTCTGTTTCTGTCAGAGATCAACCCCCACTCGAAATTGGCACGCCCACGCACTGAGGCGACCAATCAGCAGCCGGCTGCCTGCTCCCTTCCAGTTCAGGCAGAAAAGCAGAGGGTTTAGTATGCAGGAAGGAGGGGGAAGGTCAGGGGCTTTGGTGGGGGGTGGAGGACAGACATCTGGACCCGCATCACACGGGTGATGCCAAAACTGCCAGTCGCTGCCATAAGTTTCTACTTTGGCTCTACATGGAGTCCAGTTACATGAAAGGAAGGCTTACAATGGCAGGGTCCGAGCTCAGCTAGTAGAACCAGGTCCTTCAGTCACCAAATGCAGGCGCAACATCATAGCCGTCATCACTGACAGTCTTCAGTTTGTCTTTAGTAACGTCAAATTGACAGAAGAATTGCATTTCTGCTGATTATTTCTTAAAGAATCTTGATCTTGCACAATTCTCTTTTTACAGGACAGAGCGACACTTTGCATGTTGCACTTCACTATTCCTTCTGTTAATTATATATTTATTCCATAAATACATACCTCAACAGTACCTAGCTGTCTATCTACTTTAATGTTTGTGAGTGCCATTGTCTTGTTTTGTGCTGTCTAATCCTGTTGGAGGTTATATGTTACTGACTGGATGGTTTGACTGAGAAGTTCTACGTATTGATGTACAAAGGCAAATAAAGAAGATCAAGATCCCTGTTGTAGGGTACAACAACAGCCCTCTCTCCTGGGAGGTTAACAGCAAATACAGACCTACTCCTGTTCACTGCAGAAGACACACTGGGAAGGTTCAGTTTCCTGGTATGGGAATCAAGGCTGTTAACATTTTGTTATCATTTAGTCTTTCCATACCACCAACAGTTTATGAGTAACTGAGTATTAGGAACAATAAAGGGGTGTCTTTAAAGGTAGATATAGGGAGAAAGTATTAGGAACATTAAAGGGATCTTTAAAGGTAGATATAGGGAGGAATGGTAGGATATAACTAGGATAATGAGCAAAACCTCAAAAGGTGATATTTTAACAACCAATGGCTAAGTGTCTATTTTAGATGATGTCATTTCCTTTTTTTTTTGACTTACCTATTGCAGGGTTGAGGTCTTTACTAAGCAACATGGTCAAATCGCCGGTGACTTTAATGGAGATATTCATCGGAATATTATCAAACTGGGATCCCATCCAGGGGGATAGGCTCTAGGCCACTCAGCCCAGACGAAGATAAGAAGTCTGATGATCTTGTTAACTGTCTTCCAGCTAAAGTATGTGATTGAAAAAAGCAGGATCAGAGTGTTGACAGGGAAGTCCCTGAAGAAAGCATATCTGTTTATTTCCTCCCTAACACCCGTCACATCTTTCCCGCGGTCCAACCCACTCCACATGTCCACCTTCTACTTCCAGGGCTGTCAGAGAAAGGGTTTCCTGTAAGGGTGGTCCTAGCTGAAAGTCCTGGGGATCCCTAAAGCAGAGGCCAAGGAGGTCATTGAGTCAGTTTATCATCATGTTTGCCACTGACCTGCATTAAATCTCGTTCCATTGTAGCCTGTGCATCTGTTAGTTAGTGTCAGAATGGGCAAAAAGATAGACAGGTTGCTGGGCCACACTATGAGAATCAAGGAACAAAAATCAGATCCGTATTTTCTTTTGTGCTTCAACATAATTATTGTCCAAGGTGCCTTAGATCGGGTTACAAACTTGTCTTAACTAAATAGGTTGCTGTTTGTTTAAGAGAAACATCTAGATAGGAAATAGATGTAGTGCTTGATAATACACATCAAAGATAATCAGCAAATAAGTGTAGAGTATATTTATATACACAAAGGCATGCAAGCCACAGAGGATTCATAAACAGATATATAAATAAACTCTACAAACCTCTGGGTAAATAGACATAGAGTATATACAGTATGTACACATTACAATAGACCTTCTGCTAGAAAAAGAATTTATTTAGATAAACTGCAGAGGATCTACAGGTATACGTAGGGCTCTGTGTTGAAGAGATGTATTATTTCAGATAAAAAACATTTTTGTACAGTATGTGTTTATTTTCAAATTCTCCCTGATGATGATAAATGTCAATTTACTCATTCACTTTCTTTTTGTTGACAATTAAAATAATCATAATTGCTCATAGTAACCTGTGCACGTCTGTTTTATCAGATTTATTATTTGTCAGTTGTTCCAGCTCATTCCTCGATGGATTGTCTAATATATTCTTCTTTGTTGTTTCTGTAATTCATTCTGGCCACATCTGTTGTGCTGGGTGAGTTCCTCTTTTGCAATATGACCTTGACCTCTGACCTCTTGCCCTCAGCTCACTGGCCATGTCTAAAGTTGCTGTGAAGAAGCTACACTGGCACTCCAAGGTGCAGGAGAGCTTCGTCCCCCTGGGCGGGGCCTCGGGAGAGCTGGGCATTGCTGTGGGGGGCGGGGCTGACTACGGGGAATTTCCATTCGTCACCGCAGCACCTGGGGGAGGGGCCACAGTCGGCGACATCATCCTGGAAATCGGGGGGACCCCTGTGCTGGGAATGACGCTGGGGGATGTCAGGGGTGTCCTGAACTCCTGCCCCCACCCTATCCGGATCAAGACTGTTTCACCAGGTATTGTCTTATAGCAGTGCAACCCTACTAATATATATTATTAGTTTTATATAAATACAATATAAATTCTGAAACTAGTGTGGAATGTGTCATTGTAATTATTGTCGTTCGTCATTATTGTTGCCAGTGATTATTGTCATTTGTGTGTTTTTCATTGGTTGTGGTTATTGTTGTTTGTAATACTATATGTCCATATTTATACACAGGTACAGGCAAACTAATACCATTCTGATCATCACCAGAATGGGTCTCATTTACAGAAACAGCTGATTCTCCAAGGCTCTTTGTTGATTGGAACCTCTCATACTCTAATCATTAACCACTCAATTCCTTAAAGACATCTGAAGAATTTAAAATGGGCTATTGATTCATTTGGCTTGTTAAACCCCCTATCTGACTAAACAGGTCATTGCGGCTGAAACGTGGGGATTTTATGTAAAGATGCAGTAGTGGACTGAGTGGTGTAGCTGGTGGGACTGAAACAGAAATGTATGAGTGTGGGGATCTCCCTGGCTCTGGAGGCGCGTTTCAGATGAGAGTGTCGATAAGTCTGAACCCAGCAGGATGTCACTTTGTGACTCCCATTGGCCCCCTGACTGATCGCTAATCAAAAGGCTGGCCGATCTCCAGGGAAACGCCGCTATTTTTTCCATCCCCTGCTGTGTTACGGTACGCGGCTAAGCCGGTGAATAGGTAGCTGGATTGACTTTTTCTATACCGCGTGTGGTGTAGCCGGGTGAGACTCTGCCAAGGTGCTCTCCTTTAGGCTCTCCGTGGGTGCAGTTGGGGTTTGGCGGGAGTTATGACAACCTGAGTTATGAGGCAGACGGTACTGTCCATCTGCCCGTCGATAGAGGGGAGTGAAGCGTCACTGTGAGGTGGGGGCCTGTGACTCTGCCCGCTGATATGCTCCTCCGGGATCTGCATCGGTCCGGTGGGAATCCAGAGCAAAGTCACAGCTGAGACTGGGATGGGATCCTAGAGGACAGTGGGGGCGATCTGGGCGTCTCACTGGCTTAGGGACGCTGTGCTCACTGCCATCCTTAAATAATGAGCACAGCTACTCCTCTGCTGACCCCACATGAGAAAATCAGAGTCCTAGAAAGCAGCGTGAGCATCTGATGCTGCTTAACTGGTACAAATCTGTTTGGGGGGGCCACTGCTCCTGTCCCGGGTGCCCTGTGTCTGCTGGTACTTTATTGTTTATATGGTATGAAGTTTACAATGTTCACTGAGGGGGCTCCCAAAGGTCAGGTGTGTCTTACCGCAGATCAGCCCAGTAACTGACCTGCTTTACGTCTTCAGTCTTTAGAGGATCTTTATGTTTTTGATGCTACCCTGTTCCTGGGCGCTTATTGCATCTGTGGTCGGCCGACTCCCTTCTCCCGTTTCTCATCTCGCGTTTCAATCTGCTGTTGAAACAGTGAATGGATATGCAGCCTAAGCTGCCGAGCCCCGCCGCTTAATCTTTTATCCTGATTGGCAGATGACGGCTCCAAGCATATTAAGCCTAATCACTGCAGTGTGGATGCAGTGAGCTTCCACAGGTTGGCCTCAGCTGCATCTGCTTGTGCGCCAGAGCCTCATCTGATGGGATTATGATTTTGGCCCAGGAGGATTGAGTTCTCTCTTGGTTTGCGGGAGTTTTGTTTTGTGTATGGTTGTATCTGCTCTAGATAAAAAATACATACCTCTGATACCCACTGTTCTTTACTTCCCAAACCCTACCATATCTCACCATCCATTGCCCCGTCCAATAACCCTCCACTGCCTTCACCACCATTTCCATCTGAACCTTCCATTGCTTTGTGGGACTGTTCGCTCTGCCTCTTCCTCCACGTCCTGCACTCCCCACGCCATCCCTGTCCTCTACCCCTCGACCCCCCCGCCTCCCCCTTTTCTAGGGTCCACCCTCTGTAAGGACCTGCGGCTGTACCTGAGTAAGTGCTTCACGCCGGGCTCCGTGGACAGCCAGCTGCAGCAGGTGATCCGGGAGAACCTGTACCTGCGGGCCGTGCCCTGTGAGTTACCGCCCCTTCCGATGCCGGTCTTTGGGTGTTTCTCAATACCAAGAGCACAAAGATCGTACTCATGGTCTTTGCTAGACCGGTCTTCCTAGCTTGCCTTCCTAGAACCCTTGGTCTTGATTGGCGAGGATGCAACCAACGTATCCTTGACATTTGAGGTGGGGCAAGAATGACACCCAGGGATTTTTACCATCCTCCGGACTTCTGTTCAATGAAAGATGATGTAAAACGGGTACACAAGTATGCATATGGAGGAACACCCTTTGTTATTCCGTCACATCTCTGCATTATTAATCTGGTCCTTCTTATAGACTCAGATGCTGGTTTTTGGACTAAGACTCCACCTGAAATGTTAGAAGCCTCTTTTAGTTCTTTACCTGCGCTTTCAGACTTCAGGTTCAGGACTGAGGTTGCACTTTCAGGCATGTCCTGACAGGTACCAGGCGTACCCTACATGCACACTGAAGCAAATGACTGGCTGTAGAAAAGATGACTTCCCTTGGTTGATCACCTGCTGGTTGTTTTTGGTGTGTCAGCAGGATCTGCACAGTTATGTCCAGAGAAGGCATCATTGCTGAGTGTGATTCTGCGCCCCTGCGTCTTCCTGCCTGCGTGTGACTTTGCTCTTTGCCTCTGATAGGTTTTTGGCTGCCTCTCCGATGCACCTGTAACCCTAAAACTGGTGCATGGTTGGTGGGGGGCGGGGGGGCTGTTGTTTCCATGGTAACCCCCTTGCACGTCACACCGGTGTGTTTATGGAGCGCGGTGCCTGACGTTGCCCTGCCGCTCCCGCTTCTGTTCCCACTCTGCCTGAATCATCTGACGGCGGCTCCATCGTGCCTCACAGGTGGCTCTGTGCGATTTTGTTAACTTCGATGTGGATAAATCCACGTGCCTATGCTTCAGTCAATTCGCCGGGGGCTCGCCACCCGTTAATTCTGATGCCGGCTGAGAACAGTTAAACGCTTTAATCCCCGGTACTCAGAGGACGCGTTAAAACAAAAGCCTTTAGGCTGGCTTTCAGATAGAGGAGCACATGTTGGATTCCCCGCAGACCTGTTAGCACGCACTGTCTGCGCGTAACTGAGGTCTCAGATGGTGTTATTGTTTACGTTTTGGTAGTGGCATGGCAGAGCCCGGAGAATAATGTCCCACTCACGCCCCCACCTTCCACAGTCACCGCTCTCCGGTGCAAGTCACCCTGCCCGGACGCGTCAAACTAGGTCATGTGGACGGATGGGCCTGAGCTCACGCTGATGGATGCGGAATGGTGCGAGGTGCAATTCGCGGTGCAGGAAACGCAGCGGCGGGACCCGGGCTGCTGTCGACAGAATCAGCGCCCGGCGTTTGGGAGGTAAATCAAGGAGGATGTCCGGGGGTGGGTGGGGCAGTGGAAAACGAGAGCGGGGGGAGCAAACATAACAGGATTTCAAAACGGGTCAATGAATCGAGGCTGCAGCACAGAAGCCTGGACGGACCTGCACAGTGGGCAGCCAGATGAGATCATCTTTGTCTACTTTACCATCCAGAGCCTCAGAGCCCCCAGCCCATTTCAGGATAAACACCATCCCGCACTGCCTGAAGCAAAAACGAAGATCAGCAAACACATCAGGGTGAGACTCACTGTCCTCTGAGACGTGTGATCTCTGGGAAAAGCGACTGCTTGGACACATCAAGCCGCCCGAATCCGGGTGTAATTTCATATGCGCAAGAGCTTTTTTTAGCAGGATCCACTGCTTTTTTTAGTCGATTTACCGCATGTAAATATAGTCCTTCTCCATGTTCATAGAAAGTCACCGACCTTAATCAATATGAACCTAATACGGCCATCCTGTGTTGTTGATGAACTGAAAGTGATAGGGATCCAACCTATTATTAGCCTAGCAGCCAAAGTGGCGAGACTTCAGTCTAATCAGTCTCACCCTGGATCCTGCCCCATCAAACAGGAAGTCCAGAGACACGTATTCATTCAGCCACTAGCCCCGGAGACGGCACGTTTTCACAATAGGACAGTTTCTCCTGGAGAAATCCAGGTCAGGCATCCTGCTGAAGGACACATTTGCCAAGAAGCTCCTTCTGGAACCTTCTGAAACCAGACACATTCAGTTCACGGGTCATCTGCTGTAGGATCGGCCGCCCCGCAACCCTGGACCCCTATCCTCACGCAAGCCGCCTCCTCTGACAACTGACAGAAATGTAATTTCTCTGGTGGGATCGAAAAATCCCTGACAGAGAAGCATCTCGAAACATTGGGGGCTCATTCCAGCTGCAAGGTCAGACCACTATCCCCATCAGCTTTTCACCCCCCTCCACCTGTTTTATTGATTTTGTTACACTCTGTGGATTTAAGGTGCCTGTAGGTGAGTTAAAGAGGATGCCGCACACCTGACAATCCACATACCCTGCTGTTGCCAGTTAGGTGCCTGTTTGTCTGTAGTGCCATGTGGTAATTAGGTCCTTTTTAAGGACTTTGTAATACATACTGTTTTAAAGATAAACTATATGCTCTCTTACAATCTCTAAATTTGTCTGACATATCCCAGGTAATACAGGTACCGTATCCAGTCAAATCTTGATGGTCTGACAACCTTTTTAAAACAGAAGTCCTGTGTAACCATGTGTGTTTTATTTAATATTACAATGCATTAAATTTGTAGTGAATTCACATCATTCAAAGCTGTCTGTGCATCTGCATGAATTGAATCCTTTTCTATGTCAGTCATGTAAGTTATTTTGCTTGCTGAGCCAGGGCTGACAGAATTAGGACTAAGCTTGTGGCTTTGTTGACATTCCTGTCATCTGCTTTCAGGATTGCACATCTCCTCAACAGCAACTTGTCATCTTGTTCCTCATTCTGCAAACTCTTTTATTTTGGCCTGAGTCTGATACATATCAATGTCTTTCAATCTTCCCGGTTCTCTCTCTGATTACATTTCACTCACAGAATAATCTGTATCCAAATTGGTTTTTCTCAGTGAAAATTGAGACTTTTAAAATATTCATAATTTTCTCCTCCAAAACGTCTTATCCACTGGATGGATAAATATTATCCATTGGATGTTTGATGTTTTGATTTATGTTTTTTAACAGCTACAGTCTGTATAGAAACCTGATATACTTGGTTATGTATATATACACACAGAGCATTCAGAAAGTATTCAGACCTTTTCCCGTTTTCACTTTTTGTTATATTGCAGCTTAATCCTATAAACATTTTAATTAATTTTTCACCATCAATCAACACTTAGTACCCCGTAGTGGGAAAACAAAAACAGGATTTTTAGAAATGTTTGCAAATTTAATAAAAAACAAAATAACTGAAACCCCTCTTTGACTCTTTAGTACTTGGTTAGCAGCAATTACAACCTCACGTCTTGGGTGTGACTTGACAAGCTATGCACACCTGGAATTTGGGGATTTTCCGGCAATCTTCTATGCAGATCCTCTCAAGCTCCGTCAGGTTGGATGGGGACTGTCGGTGGATAGCTATTTTCAGGTCTCTCCAGAGGTGTTCGATTGGGTTCAAGTCCGGGCTCTGGCTGGGCCACTCAAGGACATTATTAGAGTTGTCCCAAAGCCAGTCCGACATTGTCTTTGCTTTGCTTAGGGTCATTGTCCTGTTGAGATGTGTACCTGTCCAGTCTGAGGTCCGGAACGTTCTGGAGCAGATCTTTATTAAGGATATCTTGCTCCATTCAACTTTCCCTCCAATGTGACGTGTTTCCCAGTCCCTGCCACTGAAAAACCATCCCCCTAGCATGATGTTGCCTTCACCATGCTTCACCATTGGGATGGTTTTGCGCAGCTGATAAGTGGTGCCTGAATCGTCCAGACATTATGCTTAGAATTGCGGTCAAACAATTCAATCTTGGTTTCATCAGACCAAAGGACCTTGTTTCTCAGACTGAGAGTCCTTTAGGTTTCTTTTTGCAAACTCCAAGCGGCTTTCATGTGTATTTTACTGAGGATTGGCTTCCATCTGGCCACTCTGCTGTAGAGCTCAGATCGGTGGAGTGCTGCATTCTTTCTGGAAGTTTCTCCCATCTCCACTAAGATCTATGGAGCTCAACCAGAGTGACCATCGGGTTCTTGCTTCCATGTCTTACCATGACTGCTCTGTTTGCTCAGGTGGCCAGCTGTAGGAAGGGTCCTCATTGTTCCCAACTTCTTCCACCCTTGGGAACCTAAAATGCTACAGAATTTTTTTGTGACCTCCAGATCTGTGCCTCGTAAAAATATTGTCTCTGAGCTCTGCAGGCAGAATCTTCAACCTCATGACTTGGTCTTTGCTCTGATATACATGGTCAACTGTGGGATGTTATGTAAACAGGTGTGTGTCAGGTTTGCAGTCATGTCCAATCAATTGAATTAATCACAGGTGGATTCCAAACATGGCATTGAAAAAATAATATAATATAATATATGAAATATGTTTATCTGGCACCCCCTGCAGGCACAACCAGGCCACCACGGGATGGAGAGATTTCCGGGGTGGACTACAACTTTGTCTCCATTGAGGAATTCTTCTCCCTGGAAGAGTCCGGTGCCCTATTGGAGAGTGGCAAGTTCAAGGGTGAGCCTATGGGTCTCTCGCCGCCTAAAATTCCCCCGAGTGTGGCCCTCGGGAAAGATGTGACAGGTCTTCCATTTACGGGGAGTCCAGTTTCTGTTCGTAGTAACTGAGGAAAAAGCAGGGCTCTGCCTAACAGTGCGGCACTTCTGTCCCTGAAACAGCAGGGGGAGCCTGCCACAGCACTGCAGAAGATCGCGGCTGCTGTGAAGTGACACAGCACTTGCTCAATATTTAAATCCTCTCAGGCTTCCCCTGTGGCGCTGCCTGTCACCCCCTGCTGGTTGCTTTTGACCGGCTTTTGCTTCCCTTTCCATTCCCCTTTCCACCGTCTTTGCTGCGTTCTCCTGCGCCTTGTTTTTTGACAAACGGCTTCCTGAAAGCCTCAAAGTCATCGCTGGGTAGCCGCTGGCACTTGGCCTCCCAGATTGAGCGCTGCCAGCGTGGGCATTAGGAACAGCAGCACTCAAGTGAATCACAGGCTTCACTTCCTAACAGCTGGATGCTGAAAGTTTCCACGGATTAAAAGTGTTGGGGGCTTGGCTTTGCAGCGCCATCCTGTGGCAAGCAGCTGAAAAATAGGAAGTTTTATTGCACGACTCTACTGGGAGCCCTGCTTATATAATGGCGACCTGTGTTTGCTTGAGTCTTGATTTCAAGGTTACTTCTCAACATTTTTCTTCTATGGTTTGACCCACTGGAGCCGTCTCCTGGAGCCGTGTTGTTTAGACTTTATTGTTATAAATGATTTGCAATTTTTCCAGTCATCATTTACTCAGATAATGGGTGATTGAAGGTCATCCACTGACTTTAGAAGCCGTGAGTCATCTCCACACCTGGACAGTTCACCTCCATAACAACTCTGCAATGACCACGATATTTTTGTCTGCACTCCCTTCTGCTACTTCCTGCCCCTTTTAGGGAACTACTACGGCACCCCCCGGCCAGTCCACATTGGGCCGGAGAGCCCCCCCATCACATATCAGGAGCACCGTAACCTGCTGAGGAACTTCCGCACCCGCAGCAAATCCCTGAGCAACCTGGAGAAGGCGGCAGAAGAGGGAGAGAACAGCGAGGAGGACTCGGGGCTGTCTGGTACGCCGTACTTTCTGGCCTCTTTGGACCACCGTAGAGTCCAGAAGGCCTTCCATGTAATTGATAATTTTCCATTTAGGTAATTGTTCTCTCTTTTTTGTAACTATGCTGTCAGCGGGCTCGGTGGGGGCCAGCAGTGCCCCGCCCACTACCCTGTCCCCCAGCCAATCCCGGGACTCCAGCGGCGGAGACGGCAGCACCCTGGAGAATGGGGGCATCGCGAGCGCTGGCCCGGGAGGCCTGCCCGAAAACTGGGACCTGTCGTTCAGTGACTCGGGGGAGCCGTGCTACATGGAGTGAGTGGCACCTGGGGAAGACAGGCAGGGCCGGGAGCACAGAAGCCGCTTATCAGGCAGTGGCGGTTGGGGGGGGGGGGGGGGGAGGGTATGAGTAATTAAATGTCTGTTCTGTTGATGGAGATGATTTCTTAAAGCCTGTCTTTAGAGCTTGAGAGTAGCTTGTTTGTGTCCTCCTACAAGCAGTGTGGGGGGAGGGTGCTGCCAAACGGCTGTGGGTCTAGATCTCCTGCCGCTTTGGGAATGAACAGATGAAGAAGCCTTGCAGGTCTGGTAGCCAGGTCTCTGTCTCTGTCTCTGTCTCTGTCTCTGTCTCACAGTCAGAACTTGAAGACGACCAGCTGGCTGGAGCCGAGGGCGCAGGGCAGAGCGACTGGCAGCATGGATGAGTGTGAGTATCATATGGAAGCTGCACACAGACAGAACCGATTAAGGGTAAAGTTGTATGTAAAGATAAGGGCATCAGACAAAGGCACAGTCCCTCCAGACAGCAGGTGCCGACCCCAAGCATGTCTCCCCCGTTGTCCTCACACACCACGTTGCTCACCACAGTCCCCAGTGTGTGACCACGGCGAGCATGAAGGTCCAGACTTCATCCCCACTGCCCCCAGCTTCTGGTCCACCTCCTTGGCAGATCCTCTCTGAGGGAAGGCACAGCATCGTTTGGGTTCTGCCGACCGATGTTTGTACTGCCAGGCTGCTGCCGCCATTTGGCCCTTGAGCGAGGCCCCTAACGCCCAGCTATAAGCTGCATGACCCTGCACTGTGCCCCCTATAGCTCGCTCTCACCTGTGTATGTGTCCGTCTCATGGAGAGCAAGGTGGGGTAGATGAGAATTTCCCCACGGCGATGATAACAGCTTCCCTATTCTGTTCTATTAAAAGTGACTTTTCCTCATAAATTTCTGCTCATATGCCAGAAGGGATTTTGTCTTTCATTTCATTTTGTCTTTCATTCATTACGTGCTAAAAAATGACAAAAAAGTCTTCTCTTGGTGTCATTGTAGAATATTGTCTGCAGTTTCAGGTAATATATCTTTCACATTACTGCGTAGGACTCAGTCAAACGGCTATTTAATGCAGTCAGTGCCGACAGGCATGAGGTTACTTATGGGAAAACTGGTTAGAGCCGTAATCTAGGTCCCCCGTGGACAGACAGGCCGGAAGCACCCTGTCATCGCAGCCTCCGCCTATCTCACCTGTTCCCTAGTGCCGCCGTTCACCGACCTGCCTGGCGAGTTGCGAGGGTATTCTGTCCACACCCGTTTGTGCAAAGGGCCACGTGGCTTTGGCTTCAACATCGTGGGGGGCAGCCGGCCCCGGGAGTTCCTGCAAGTGTACAGTGTCACGCCGGGGGGGCCACCGACACTCAACACAGGTACCGGGGGGAGGGGGCTGTACATCACAGAGGCGGCCGGGAAAGTGAATGAGGAATATTACTGACGTGAGCAATGCTGGGAATATAAATAAAGTAAAAGGTTTTAGTGGTGATTGTTAAAATGGTGATCAAAGCTGGTAAAGACTGTTTGCAAACAGCTGAAGTGCCAAAGAGATACAATGAGCCAGACAGATGGAAAATAGGCTGCAGTCGAATACGTAGCCGGGCACAGAGACGGGCACAGAGACTCATGCTGAGCTCTCCTTCTTTCTCAAAGTCACTCTCCCACTCTGCTGCTGTCTGCCTCTGCCCACCTAGTAACAGTAACCACTCAAAGCAGGAGCCATCCCAGAATTCCCAGACCTTCCCAGCTGTCTCACAAGCCGTGAAATTAATTTTACTATGAAATTGACTCCACCCAATGTGCTCTTGGGTAATGATTGCGAGTTCTAAAGCACTGTTCCTCAACCCGGTCCTCAGGGAACCCCAGACATTCCACATTTTTGCTCCCTCACAGCTCCTGGGAGGGAGCAAAAAAATGTGGACTGTCCTTGAGGGCTGGGTTGAGAAACACGGTTCTAAAGAGCACTTTAAAACTAATGTACTGCAGAATTACAAAAGCAGTGTTTAGATTTGATGGGATTTCATTGTTACATACATTCACAGCAGTTGTGAGATGCTGTTTTATAGGCTGACATTTCCTGCATGGGTGGGAGGCAGAGTCTGAGACAGCATCCCTGACTGAGGGATACGCCCCCCATCGTCTCTGCCTTCCTGATTTTAATCAGCTTCCCCCTCAGCTCCCTCTCTAATTTGCAACCATCCAAAACAATCCATGCGAGCTGCGGTAGATGGCACTTGTAGGCTCCGGCCTTATTAGTCATCTGACAGTGTGCACCGCCCCCTGCTGGTCTGTAATTTACTTGCGGGCACGGAGGAAGGATGGGGCTGTGGGGCACTGTGTTTATTTTTAACGTCAGGATCCGCTTCAGTGAGATCCGGAGCAAACTGCAGAGGTTCACACGGAATCACGTGAAATATCACAGGCTTATCGTCATGAGACGCTCCACAGTAGCTGTCCTCCAGCAAGGCTCGTGGAGCGTGTGTCTTGAGGGGGGCATTAGTGAGGTGCTGAAATGCTGTCGCTGGAGGGGGGGGGCGCAGGGGGCATCCTTGTGCCAGGCTTGGATGGCTGCTCTGGCCACTGGTCCCAGACATGAAAGGATGATTCAAACACAGAATTGCTCTACCCAGAAGCAACTGTTTACAGCACTTCAACAACCTGGCTGTGTCCATGTTTCTCCCTCTCTCTTTCCCTCTTTCGTGCCTTCTCCCTCCTGCTTTCCCTCCCTCTCTCCCTCCCTCCTGCAGGATTAGGGCCATGTGATTCTGGGACCTCTCACTGAGAGAATTTCAGTCCTGCCCTAATCCTGATGGACCCTCATGCTATAATCTTGCAGTCAAATTGAACAGTGACATGCATACACACACACACACACACACGTACACGTACACATACACACACACACAGACCTGTACTCATATCTTTGTGGGGACCGTTCATTCATTTCTATTGGCAAAACTCTAATACCAAGAATGACAACCTTAATCCCTACCCAGCCCTAACCTTAACCATAAGTAATCAAACAAAATACCACACTTTTGGCATTTTTTATTTTTTGATTAGTCACAGATTTTTATATATTGAATATTGAATTTCCCCTTGTGGGGACCAAAAAAGTTGTCCCCACAATGTATAAATAACAGGTTTTTATCACATTGTTAGGATATTTGGTCCCCACAAAATAATATATCCCTGGGGAACCCAGAGCACCTTATCATTATAGGAAAAACATGTCCATTGGCTAAAATGATCATACAGACCCAGTGAACTCAAAAACAGGTGTTTTGTAAAAATAACCCTTTCCCAGTCCATGTTATGAATGTGCCATATACAGTACGACCCTCTGGTCTGTTCATGCTCTTCCAACTTGTCAATTTCACCTATGAAATAAGGACAGAAAATAAGGAAAAAACAAATCTTTGCAACATTCTCATTTTCAAAATACGTTTATTGAGTTTTCCTTTTCATCATTCACCATGTGCTGGCAATAAAACACAGGCTTCAAACTTGCCAGCCCATCAAGAAACAGGTCAAGTGAACAGACCTGCAAAAAGGTGCACTACACACAGAGAGTTTACCTGTGGTGGCTTGTAAGGTCTGGTGCTCCACCTGTATTCCCTCTGTTTTTGTCTGAGGCTGATGTTTAGCACATGGAACATGATCATCACAGTTGCCAGAAAAGTTTAAAAACATCCAAAACCTAGTTGTACATGTTCAATAACATCTAAACATTATAACTGATGATGCAAAATTTCTGCCACTTACATATTCATAGCTTGACAGCTGAATCTTTGCAGCATGTACAGCAACAACCTCAAAACGTTTTGGGGGCCATATTTATTGTAGAAAAATATCTGGTTAATTCAGTCAGTAATCACTAAATGTCACTGTTACTGGGTCGTATATGGTACATTGGGCTGTAAAACGAAAATAAGTTCTTAACTTTGATGAGTGGATTGAATGTAAGGCAGAAATAAAAGGAAGGGTTGTATATGACCCCGTGGGTTCCCCAGGGATATACATGAAGCGTGCGTGCGCACACACACACACACACACACACACTTGCTGCCTGTTTGTCTATGAGACTCATGACTCTGCAGCGGATCTGAGGTCAGATGTGGCCCAGTCTGGCTGTGTAGAGAGATGGAGGGACATGTAGAGGAAAGAGCCTGTGAAGGCTTATCTATTTACAGGTATAAATATTATTAATAAAAACGCTCCATGTGTTTTTTTATATATATATATATATATAATTAAAACCTGTGTGTAGTGATTATAGGAAATATCTCCCTCTCCCAGCGGATATCCTGGTGTACATCAATGACACCTGTGTCCTGGGCATGTCCCACAAGGACGTGGTGGAGCTTCTGAAGGCCGTGCCGGTGGGCCACAGCGTGGACGTGGTGGTGCGGCGAGGATACCCCATGCTCTACAACTCTGACGGCTGCCCCAAACAGCTCATGGCCATGGCTCCGACCACGCGGCAGCCGCAGCCGCTGCGCTCGCAGACGCGCAGGCAGGCAGCGCCCCGCATGCAGGCCACGCGGCTCCGCCTCGGGGGCCCCCGGCTCCCCCCTGGCTCACCGGCGAGCGCCATCCTGGACGCCAACGGCAACGCCACGCCCGCAGGCCCCAGCAGCCTGCCCTCCTACCCTGACCCAAACGCAGACCCTAGGCTCAGGCCGAGCTCTGCTCGCCGGCCCCATTCCCTGATGCCGGTACCCCCGCCCCCCCCACACGACCACTCCCCAGGCCAGAGCGATGTGGAGGCGGGGCTTGCTGGCACCTCACACAGGTACCCCAGCCAGCTGTGTTCATCTCCCCGTGATTCACCTTGGTACCGACAGACGGTCATTCCGCTGACTTCCACTGGGTACCAAAGTGATCAGACCTGTTTGTACTGTGTGTGCCGGTCCAATGAAGTACATCAATTAAGTTTAATAATTATATAAATGCTTAATGAATTATGGTGTTATCTTGAAACACCCAGTTCAGCTGGAAAACGCTGGCGTGATTTGGGCTAATGAGTCGCACTGGATAGGGTGTAGAATCCGGTGCCGGCATGGTGTGTCATTCAAAAGGGTAGAGGGTGTCATTTATTGTGGTGTGTTTTGATCTGCAGGACCTGTTTTTTCCTTGTTTACCCTGTTGTTGGTACCTGGCTTCACCTCCTGCTCACAGTCACTCTATCCTTGCTTTTCCCACACAGAGCCTCCTCCATCCGTAACCATAACAACAACTCTCTCCCTGGGCCGGTCCCCCTCAACCGACCCCCTCCGAAGTCCCCTGTAAGCAGCCTTTCCGCCCCTGGGCTGCCCACCGGTAGGATCTCGCTGTCCCAGCTGGAGGTGGGCACATCTGTGTCCCCACGGGGCACTCGCCCCCGTGCCCTAGCCTCTGTGTCTGCGCCACCTGTTGCGGACGGCCCCCCCTCTGGCTTCAGCGGCTGGCCCTCGAGCACCGGACCCAGCCCCGGCAGCAGTCTGTCCCCCGGGGGCCCGACCGGGTCCTCAGGGGACCTGATACCCGTGGTCCTGGGCCGGAGCGAGGGCATGGGTGGCCTTGGCTTCAGCGTGACGGCTGGGGGCCAGGGGGGGCGCTTGGCCCTGGTGAAGAGGGTGTGGGACCGGCGGCATTGCCCCTCTCTGCAGCCAGGGGACGCCATCATCAAGATCAATGGAGCTGATGTGCAAAGCCTCAGTTTCGCTCAGGTAGAACCTAGTACGGTGAAATGTCTGCATCAGCAGATCCGAGATCAGTTGTGTTTTACGTAGAAAGAACACCATGCAGTGTGTTTTCCCCAGTGGTCATTAAGGAAGGTTTAGCTGCCTATTAAAGTTAACTTCTGGGACCTGCAGTACGTGTTTTTTCATGTGTCTGTGACAAACAGGAATAATGGCTCACTGGGTCACACATAAATGCTACGGGGTGTCTTAATGAGCGTGTGGCGCTATTACAGGTGCAGAGAGCATTGCAGGAGCACACCAAGCAAGGGGATGTCACATTGCTGATATACAGAGGCAGTGAGTACCCCCCCAGCCCCGGTCCATGTAGTATAGTCGTGCATTTTATGTGTCTGCAGTCATTAACTGGGAAGGATGTGGCTGCAGTCTCTCTGGTTTCAGTGAACAAAATACCACTAATAATAATTCACTAAAAAAATACTTGCTAGCACTGGAGAAATTGTTTTCGGCTTGCAGGAGGCGAGTTATCAGAGGCTAAATCCTTCTTTTCCAGGCCCCTCCTACTCTCCAAACTCCCCCGGTTCAGTCAGACATGCTCCCCCCTTCCTCTACCGTGGCCCACAGCTTGCTGGGACGCCCGGCAACGCCCCCCCTATGGATGCCTTGACTCCGGCGTCTGCCCGCGTGCGTACCCCTTCCCCAGCCGTGGACCGGCCCGCGCTGGTCCAGAGCACCAGCTTCCTGGACCTGGTGCCCATCTCGCTCACCGCCGAGCCGCGGGACTGGCTGAATGTGGAAGAGGGGCCCGTCCCTGCAGACAAGGGCCACGAGGTGAGCCGGAGCCCTATCCTCTCCAGGGCGGTGGAGGTGGAACTGAGGAGAAGGCCGGGAGAAGGCTTTGGCTTCGTTATCGCAACCCAGGACTCGGAAAACGGTCGAGGTGAGTGCGGGTGGGCGTGTGTAGTGAACCTGATCCAGTAGGATCTGGGTTCCTCTACAGCCTTTAAACTGTTACACGGCACAGGGCTGCCAACTCCCACGCATGTGGCGTGATACTCACGCTTTCAGACTGTCACGCTCAAGCAAGGAATCTATATTATTCCATTATTAGCCTAAAGTTAGCTACTTAAAAAGCTTTGGGGTAGTTTGCAAGCATTACAGACTATTTACAAGGTAATAAAACTGTTACATACATGTAAATGCGTGTGCAGAGGTGTCTCAAATTGAAAATCTCACTCCAGCCAGCTGACTGAAGCTGACTGTGCTTCTGCTCTCACCTCACTCCACGGCTGGGCTTGTTTTTCCTTTGTCGTTGTTTCTGTGTGAAGGCATCTCCTTGCTGTTATGCTTAAGGTTATCTGCAGAGGTGAGTGTTTCCATGGCCGCTATAGTGTGCTGACTGGCTCCCATACATTTGTCTTCATCGTTTATTGGGCCACTGGGAAAAAGTGTCAGGCACCTGGCCACCGCAAGGTCTTCTGGGACGCTGGGGTCTGGATAACTGTCCCCGGTAATCCCATAATGCCCCTGTAATGTTACACCGTCCTCTGCAGGGTTAGATGTCTGGAAAAGGTTGCTTACAGCTACTGTGTGGCATTTAACCAGGATGTTCTAGATTCGCTAAATCAGTGTTTCCCAATCTGGTCCTCAGGGCCCATTTTTGCAAAAATGTGGATTATCTGGCAGGGAGCTGGACGGGAGCACAAACGTGGACCATCTGTGGGTCCCTGAGAACCGGGCTGGGAAACACTGCTCTATATTTCACCATTATTCCTTTTGTAGCTAAACTGTAATATTTTTTTTCTGCAGTGATGACAGCGAGCTGTGGACACTTTTGTGACCCAGTGCATGACCCAAATCTCCTCTCCTTTGTGAGAAGGTCATGAAGTCGTCCTGTCATTTTAAGTTGGGCTGTTAGGTGCAGTACGTTGCTTGGGATAACGTTTAATGTATAAAAGCTTTGCTTCTCCACAGATAGGTTGGTTAAAGTTGGTTAAAGTTGGTTAAAAGGTGCAGCTCATCAGTATGAGTCATGCTCCGCTGTCCCTGGCCCTGTGGTGCCTGTGCCCAGTACTGACTCTGGGCTGTAATTCAGCTCTGTGAAAACGGGCCGGTTCCCCGGTTCTTCTGGCTTAACGCATCATCAGCAGCTGGCACTGGTCCCTCTCCACCCCCACCCTCCCATCTCCTCTCCTCTTTCCATCCCCCCTACCCATCCACCCCCCCACCAACCATGCCAGCTGTTCTTCCCGCTTTGTTTTGTTGGAGAAACATCTGTTTCATCGTCCGAACATCCATCCCTCCATCTCTCTCCCCCATTTCCGCCTGGTATGCCTCTGCTCACGCTTTAAAGGGATCCGCTTCATTCCGCAGATTAATGTTTTCACCTTTTGCTCCCTATTTCTGACTCGGTATCTTGCCTTTTTCAATATGTCCACACGCTCTGAGTGACACAATAATGTCTCCCTTGTGAGGAGAGGTTGGGATTTTTTTTTTTTTAATGCTTGTCATCGATTTTCATCTGTCTGGATTTGAGCGTTAACACGGAATCTTTTTGTGGGATTTGGAGTGTCTTCACCTCTGCAATTTTAAATCCACGGAGCGGTGCTCAAGTGGCTGGAGGCTGCCATGAAAACTCTGAAGGGCTCCAGCCATATTTATTGCTTTTTGTTTTTGCGGAATTCACTGTCGGTGCTGCTCACTGTGCTTTTACTAGCTGTAGTGGGACAGTGCTGCATATCACCATTAGATCGAGATACGAATTTGTATGCTAGTCAACTTATGATCTGTGTGATAGGTTAATCTCTCATTTGTATGCCTGCAATTGACCAATGACTGTGACCCATACTTCCCTCTGGGGATGGGCTTTGCTAATTTGACTCCTCCCCTTATACTGCTCTCACTGAAATCCATGTGCTGTGACACATCGGTATACTCTTGGTCCTGCACTGGGATCAGTGTTGGTGTTAATATTTTTAATCTTCTACAGGGAAATCTATTGAGTACTGAGTGACAATAGTATTGGTTTTGTGGCTGGCTGCAGGAACACAGCCTTCCTAAATGTGATGGCTACTTTTGTCAGCAGGTCCGAAACAAAGGCACTGCAGTTTTGCTAGGTGGCTGCTGTCCATGGTGCTGACCGAAGTTGGCGGCCACCTGCACTTTGGTCGGAGCAGCTACAGTTTTCAGGTTCTGAAGGTTCTCCTTAGAGTCTCACCCTGACTCAGATGGTGTTGGTTTCCTCTTCCTAACCAGTGCTGCACCTGGAATGATAAGTCTTGGAGAGACAGGAACCAGCAGGTGACCCTGTCCTTGCACTTGAGCGCAGCATGGTCCGTGTTGCCTGTGCAAGAAGTATCGTAGCTCCATGACAGCCCACTTGCAAGCAGAGGTACACAATTCAGGTTCAGACTGTACAAATCCAGACCGAGATTTTCTTTCAACCAATCAGTTGAGTATGAAGAGTCACATTCATAAAGAACTGTTTGGTTGAAGCAAAATCTTGGAAGGGATTTTTACTTTCTGGACCTGAACTTTCTAGGTCGGCCTGCAAGTCAGGGCTTCCCTTTCCACAGCAGAATACCAGTTCTCTGCCTGCAGTTTCTTGCTCAGGTATAGCACTGGGTGTTTCTCCCCAAAAAAATCCTGGGCCAACATAGTGCTGCACGATGAAAGGTTGGTCGTGTCATGGTTGAGGAGGACCAGCTTGGCTTTATGGGTATTCTTTAATGCCTAGAAGGAGAAGAAGGGAATAAGGGCCCATAATGTCCCTTCAACACTAGGAAAGCACGCACCTGTGTCTTAGCTGTTGGCCATGTGATATTCAGTGATCTTCTTCTGCTGGGGCTTCAGCCAAGGTATTGGGCTTCACAGAGCCCCAGATGATGCTTCGTATGGTTGACGTCATCTGGATAGGCATCGATGTAGGCTCAGTGTGGCCACACAACCTCATCTGTGACCCACTGTTGAGGTCCAAGGTGGAAATGTACCGGGTCCTCCCTAACCTCTGTCAGTTCATCAGCTCTTGCCATGAAATATTTGTAAAACGGAGACACCTCATTCTACTTGCTAAAGTCATTTCAAAACTGGTAGGTACTATCTACTTCAGCACCATGACAATGGAATGACTCTGAAATATCTTCTGGACCTCCTTCTCTATCACCCATATTCTGGTATTCCAGAAGCTGGTAGGGCCACTGCTGAACAACTACCCCCAGAGAGGTCTGGATGTGATGCTAGGTGATGTGTGTCCTACCAGGGTTAGAGGAGAACACATTCTGGTGGTCAAGGAGCTCTCTTTCAACCTAGCCCTGGAGGCTTCCTATCTCTTCAGCATCCCAGGTAGCTTGTCTGCTCCAAGACACCACAAACAGACTACAGGGAAACTTGTTCAATCCGCTTTTTGAGAAATTTCATTGGTCCCACTTGCTCCTTAATGACACCGGGGCCTTATAAGCTCAGTTGGGCAGTGTGTGGATCTCACAGACAGTAGGGAGCTGGGAGGGAGCAAAAATGTGGACTGTCTGTGGGTCCTGGAGGACCGGATCGGGAAACACTGGTTTAGAATATTACCCCAGAAAGACACCTTTTTATTTGGATCAGGATGGAGGGAAAATGGGGAGCTGCGGAGCTGCATGGGCTTGGCCAGTCGTTGGCCTCGAGCAGGTCATGACTTCGGCCATGTTGGCATGGGCTTTGCAGCACTACAGCCAGGCTATAGGCAGTAGCCAGATGCTTACCCAACTTCTCCTTCCTCTTAGCTTCTGACGAAGCCTCCTCAAATATGAGCCAGCTGGGGCTGTTAGTGGGAGCCAGGCACGGAGGATTATGATTGGGCTGACTTTTGACAGCTGCTCCAAAACAATGGTGCTGAAATTTTGACAGGTGGTCACAGTTTGTGGTTCTAATCTTGGTCGGCAGTAACCTGTGTATTGGACGCGCCGGCTGTAGCTTCTGGGGTCTGGGGACGATGTCGTGACAGTATCTACAGGGTAGCTGTAGAAGGGTGACTCCATGGTGTCACTCCTCACAGTTTCTATGTGTCCTTGACTTCTTGATCAGTGTAAAAGGTCAAAGGTCAGAGGGTGGCTCTGTCTTGAGCATTAACTTGAAAGATGTCATTTTCACTCTATCATCATATATGAAACTTCAAGTTTTTCGAATCGCCTGTGTTTTTTTGCAAAATCTGGAAAGAAATTTTATTTTTTATTAAGTCTTTTATTATTGTGTAAAATTTGAAGAAGGATTCAAAGTCCCATCACCCCCAGGGTTGTGTCTAGTTCATGTCCTGCAGCTTAGCTCAGCTACATGCTGGGCATGTTATCTGGAAATCCTCTGCCACCTGAATTGAAGGCTTTTGAGATAGACAAAAATATGGGTGAGTTCATGCTATGGGAGCAGCAGCTGCAGCTTTCCAGCAACGTCCACATCCCTGGAAGCAACGTCCACATCCATAGAAGCAACGTCCACATCCCTGGAAGCAACATCCACATCCCTGGAAGCTGCCAGTCAGGCGTTATCATGGTGGTTCCAGATCATAAATCCTAATAACGCCCTTTGGACACCTTGGGTCTGACAAATGGTGGCTTGCAGGGGGTGTCAGATGTTACCATGCACCATGGCCGTTATGGAAGTTAAAGAAAAAATTTTACTTAAACTTTAACTTAAAATATGTCTGTACAGCTGGGTATTTTCCTGAAGGAACAATAAGACTCCAGTGGTACATGAGCACGGCCAGTTAATTTAATTAAATGAAACAACATTTTTCTCCTTCATCACAACTAAACACTCTGGGATTTTTATAAAGACGTGACAGCTTAGTAATTGTTAACATGAGTCAACTGCGCTTCAGGATATTCTAGCAATGACGACGTCTGCATCAGAACTGCACCGCCTGTAGACACGGGATCACAGTAATGAATCATTCTGAATTGTCTCCTTAGGTTTTACATCAAAGTCTGTCTCCCATGTAAAGTTTACGATGGCTACTGTAAGTTCACACTTAGATGCAAGATTGTCTCAGCTATTGAGGTCTTCTTACCCATAATCCCCGTCAGATACTTTGCATTGCATCACTCTACTCTGTGATTTTGAAATCAAGCAGGGAGGAATTGCTGGGTGTGACAGCAGTGATATCATTACCTCTTAATCAAACTCATGACTCATGACTAGAACCTAATGATATGTGTAGCCAGTATGACTTGCCTGAGCGTGTTTAAGTGATCCAAGTGAACAGGGTAGCTGTAGTAACTATGTAGCTAGTGGCTTGGTTAGCATAGAGGCTGCTATTGTGACTCTAAGCACTGATGGTTGTTGGCAGTAACTCAGAACTGTGACTTTCCTTCCTGGGTTACATTTCTGTAGTCTATGAAGTTCACTTTGGTTGGTGTTCCACTGTCTTTCCAAAACTAGAACCTCGAGGCTTGATCCTGGATCAGCTAATGTGTCACCAATGTGCTCCCCCAGTTGAGGACAATGACAGAGCTTCACACTCAGGGCCAAGATCTGCGACGCCAGGGGATGTCAACAGAAGCGCAGCTACTAGCCATTTCCGTGCCGGCAGACTTGGCACCGTGTTCCGCGTGCAGGTGACAGTGGCTGTGACAGGATCCCAAACGGGGGCCCACAGTGGTGTCCTGAATGAGACAGTCGCTGCATCGGCTGCTCTGATCCCGTGTTTCCTGCTCATCTTCCAACTTTATTTCTGCTTATCATCATCGCTGTCGTGTTCACACCGGTTAAAGACACCTTTACCCCGAGATGATTTCTTGTTACTCATTTGAGGAGCACGATGTTTTATGGCATCAGTGTCTGGCTCTAGGGGGCAGCAGGTGGGCCCCCACATGGCCAACAAGTACAGTTAGCTTAGCCACAATGCTATCACTCCGATACAGCGTTAATCATGCTCGCTCCTTGCTGCTATTGTACTTGAGAACAGAAAATCTGTTAAGTTAGTTTTGTTCAGCCTGGTAAAATTCCTCTTTAGCCAAAGCTTTTATTTTCCTGTTTTAACCATTCGTTTGCGGCCGGTATGATGTAGAAGTGGAATGACTGAACCTCCTCATACTCAGGGGTGCAGATTTTTGCTGCCAGCTAACGGGGCTAGTGGAGTAAAAGATATAGTCAGGCATGCATTTTGTTTCCTAGCCAGAGGGCTAGTGTTAAGGTTCAGGTTGTTCAGTTAGTTGTTCAGTTAGTGTTTTTTTCTCACCCTTCTAAATTACTTGCCTCAGGTGAGTGAGGCAGATTAATTTCCGGTGCTGCTCATGCTAGGGGGTGGCGTGTGAGTCAGCATTGTGTTTGTGTTCAGAAGGTTGCTGGTTCGAATCCCAGGGTCAGCACAGCAGATAAAAGCATTTGCTAAATAAATAAAATGTAAATGAACTACAAAATTATACACTCCTTTTGCCATTGTTTGGTAGTGCTGCCCTCTTTGTGGTGCTCGGATGCCCCCGTTGAAGCCCACTGATCCCCCCTCACCCAGCACCCAGCATATCAAATGTGGTTGAAGCGGCAGGCGGAAATGCTGACAACACGGTAGAAAGGCGGCGAAGTTTGCAGCTTGGATTGCTACATGTCATGCAATAGTGTATGACAAGAGCATAATCACATTCATCGTCATCCATCATTGCTTTACAGTGCCTCTGCATGTATAACCAAATGTTAGTAGACAAGAGTCTTTAGTGCTTCTCTTAATTTCTAAAATCATTCCCAAAGTTAAAATCCACGCAATGCCGGTCAAAGCACACCTGCTTGAAATGCACTAGCTGCTATTCCGCTCCTGTAAAAGGCTTCAGAGCAATGAAATAATGCACTTCAATTACTGCAGCTACCAAGAAAAGTGCTCAGTATCTCAGGAGTTTGTGGAGTTTTAGCTCCCTTTTTGCTTCAATGACAGCGTCGCAGACTCTTGGTGTTCTTTGTATGAGCTTCTAGATGTAGTCACCTGGAATGCTTCTCCAACAGTTCTGAAGGAGTTTCCACAAGTTCTGGGCACAAGTTGGCTGCGTTGCTCTTGCTCTTCAATCCAACTCATCCCAAGCCAGCTGTATAGGGTTTAGATCAGGGGGACTGTGGGGGCCAGGTCATCTGTCATAGCAGTCCATCTATTTCCTTATTCATAAGATAATACTTATTACATAACCTTGAGGTGTGCTTGGGATCGTTATCTTGTTGAAAAATAAGTGATTTTCAGTAGGTGTTTCTAGACTTTTGACTGGTACTGTATAATCTCTGATTAACGACTGAGAATTAGGATTAGGAGAAACCGCCTTACTGAAGGGTTTAACAGCAGAATGTTCCTGCCACTTGGACCTTTAAACACTATTATATCCACTGCCCGATATCTACCTGAAAAGTCTTTCTGATGCCTGAAGTCGATGCACGTGGGTGATTTCGTTTGTGGCCCCCAAACCATTGAGCTTCCCCTGGAGCCTTGTCAGTGTCGGATTCTCAAGGCCGTATAGCAGTGCGGTAATCCAGCCTGCAGCAGCACCTTTGGCCAGTGCGGCACAAACGGACGTGTGACGGTGCCTGACTTTGAGGACATCGTTACAGCACGCTCACATCCTCCCGCTCCTGCCAAAGCCTCAGCGGTCGCTTCCTGCTCAATGTCACCCAGGTCTCTAAGGTCTCCTCTTCATGCCAGACTGGCGCTGTTGTTTTTAGAGTAGAGAGGTGAAAACGTGACGCGTCTTTTCTGTGCAGGAATAATTTCAGTGTTTGTGTTGTTAGTTCAGAATCCAGGAAATGCCCACTTTTAGACCCTTTTAAATCCCTATTTCTTTTTTTATTTACAGCTCTATATTGCTTGAGTCGTGGTGCATGTCGCGATAGATGAGGCAGAGACCTTAAGACAGATTATCCCTATCTAACTTGACTTTGATCAAGTCTAAGTTAGTGTAAGTTTAAATTCACCTGCTGAAGACAGACACTTTTGATGGACTGATACTGTTTAATAGACATCTAATTCACCGGACTGTTGTATTTGTTTAATTGGATATAATGCTGGAAAGATGTTCTTTTGGCATTGTAGTGTCACATTGGGTGAATCTCAATATGCATACTTTACCATGCTTGTGTTCTTATGTACCCGTGTTACATCATCCTCCATTGCCGAAGACCAGTTTGGATACTCAAGAACAGAAGTACAGAGGATGGTAAAAATCTCTGGATGTTGTTCTTCTTCCATTCCAAATATCAAGGATACATCAACTGCATCCTCACTGAATGAGACCAATCCCATGATTCATTGCGCTCCAAGTTTGTTCTTGGAAGGCAAGTTAGCAAGACCAGTCTTGTCAAAACCAGAAGTACGGTCTTAGCGTTCTTGACATGCACATTCACTAATTGTTCTAGGGAAAATGAGGAATTTTCACCTCATTGGCTAAGGGCAGGAAGGGGAGGGTCTTTCTACAACTTTCTCCCAGAGGGCTACTCCCAGGGGGACACGGGGTGCTATGATCTGGCCTGGGCTACATGGATGGTTAAGTGTGTGGGTGCTGTCTACACGGACTGGTGTGTTATATAATCATGCTCGCAGCACAGAGAAACTGTAGCAGTGTGTGTTGGAATATGAACGGCAGTCTTCCATTTCAAGGTGATTGTACCCTGCTGTGTCTTTCTAAATGCACCCAAGCACGATATGTAACAGGTTATGTCTAGAAACACGCCAGAGCTCGTCAGGAACGCCTCCTGTCTCGTGTTACTGGTAGTCACTTATAGTAAAAATGCAGGTGAGGTGACACAAGTGGATCTCATGGAGTCAGTAGGAGGTGAATTTCATACTAAGCAGCTTTCCTGTATCTGTGTCCCAAATTTGAGGAGAGTGAGTCCTCCTGTGTGTTCTGACATCACCAGGGCTTCTGTGCTGCACACTTGGACTCAGAATCCACCCAGAAAGCAGGTGATCCTGGTGATGAATGTGAATCCTCCCCTCCTCACCCCTGCCGTGTCTCTCCATTGTGGTGCTGGCTGATTGGCTGCATATTAATTACAATGTGACACTCATATGCAAATGAAGTGACAAACACTAGTTTGATTGGATAAGCTTACGATGGAAATAATTCCATCATATTTACCGAGGCCTTTCAGCTCATTAAATCTGGGGCTAAAGGCCTTCCTTGTCTCATTATTTTTCCTGTCAAATCCAGCTCTGCTTCCGTTTCACCCTCCCCCCCCCCCTCCCTTTCCATCACCTTCATTACCTCCAAGTTCCGCTCCCTTCTCTCAAAAATCTCTTTCAATTGATCTGGCAACCATCATTTTCAAAGACTTTCCTTTGATTTGATTTCCCCAGTTGGTTGTCCATTGCTATTTGTTGACTACTAGTTAATACATCAGCCACCAGAGCAGAAAGTCTGCTTTCACTATTATTAATAACAAGCGTGCAGTGAATAGCTGACTCTGGGGTTTATGGTCTGGACGGCCGTGTTGTAGACCCCCCCCCCCCACCCTGCCGATTTGTTTGGGTCTCTTGGCTTGTTTGGCTGGGCTGGTGTATATATAAGGATCTGATGTCCGCAAGGGGTTTAAAAACAGTAGAACTTAGTTGTATTGCAAGAGATTCGGCTACATTTTCATATAGACCAACAGGCCACAAAGAGCTGCAATTACCAATAATGAAAAGCACCATTGAACCATTATACAGTAAACTGAATCACAGCTAATTTACATCCCAGTTTCTGCTACATAATATAACAGTGTGTTTACAGGTTGGAGTCTTGGCTTCTTGGCTATCTGGTTTTCCTCCGCCGGGCCCCCAGTCAGCTGTCCTGGGAGTCTCACGGCCGATTCTGGCCCAGTGTTCCTCCTCACCCTGGTTCTCCTCCTCCTGCTGATCCCCTACCCCCCGTTTCCCCACAGCTCCCCCCACGCTGCCGCATCGCTTTGTGACGGTGCGCCGGGGCAGCCCGGCAGCTCGCAGTGGTCAGATCCGTCCCGGCGACCGGCTGGAGGCAGTGGAGGGCCGCTGCGTGGCGACCTTGCCACACCGCGAGGTCACCCAGATGCTGCGGCGTGCGGGCACCACACTGCGCCTCACTGTCGTGCCCCGCAGTGCAGTCAGCTGTGCGTAACACTGGGGATTCCCCTCTGTGATGTCGACATGCTTTCGGCCACATGGCATCGTGGGCATTCACACACATAGCCACACACGCCCCCCCGGGGACTCCCCTCTGACTTGGCATCCTGCTCCCTCACAGACTCCTCCGCCCTCTCCGAGTCCATGGCACTTGAGCCTGCCTACAGAGCCAGGAGAACTTACAGGTTGCGGTCCAAGGTGAGCTGTGGATCGGCAATAGATCCATACCAGCGTTGTCACTGTGTTTGTCCCCAACACAACCTCTGTTGACCTTTCCCTCCTATCTTGCCACCCTCCCCCAACCTTCCTCTTGCAAGCAGGACTCCAAGTACTACACTGTGGACCTCGATCGGGGCCCCACGGGCTTTGGATTCAGCCTGCGGGGGGGCAGCGAGTACAACATGGGTCTCTATGTGCTGGGGCTCATGGAAGGAGGCCCCGCCTCTCGAAGCCAAAAGATACAGGTGAGCCCTTCATTTTCAACAGAGGGGGCTGGTTCATTTAAAAAGGGGGTTTAGGTATGGTTCCTTCCCCAGCCCTGTACAAGATGTGTGTGAGAGTAAGACAGGCAGATTGTCTGATTGACTGTATGTGACACAGTGTGCAAGTGTGTATGTGTGAGTAAATGGAGTTTGTTTGTCCTCCAGAGGAGTTAAATGGTTGCATGATTTTGTGTCTAGATTTGTTACCCCGATAGAGGTTGGACAGAAAATGGCTGCCTTGCTTGAAGTGGGTATGGTGGTGATGAATCTTTGCCATGAATCTGGGGGGGGGGCCTGGGTTGAAGAGTGCTGTTTTACAGCTAGCATTAAAAGCACATCGGAATGAAATGCCAAAGCTTTCAGCATTAAAGAGGCAGCCTTCTCCCGGGATGGATGAGTCTCAGGGGGTGTGTGTGTGTGTGTGTGTGTGTGTCTGGGGTGGGTGGGAACCAAATTTCCCCACAATGAGGTGAAATCTGCTACTGTCCCCAGGTTGTGGGAACAAGTTTAGTTTCATTTTTTATAAAAATCTGTGAATGCAATCAAAAACCTTAAATAGCATGTGCGTGCGTGCGTATGCGTCCCCGCTGCTGAGATAGCTGCCCTTCTCTGCGCCCCCTGCAGGTCAGCGATCAGCTGGTGGAGATCAACGGCGACAGCACGGCAGGTATGACCCACAGCCAGGCCGTGGAGCAGATCCGCCGGGGGGGGCACCGTATCCACCTGGTGCTGAAGAAGGGAAATGGATACGTGCCTGACTACGGTGAGGGGAGGGGGTTAGGACACAGAACGGTACCATCCCAGCGGTGGGTGCCCGAGCTGAGCAGGCTGTGCGCTCTGTTTAGTTATTTATATGCTGCTTTGACAGGGGCCGCGAATAGCTTCCTATTAATTAGCTGTTTATTCCCAGAATTAACTGTAAGCTTTGTTTCATCTGGCATCCCGCGATCAGGTGACATCATGTCAGTCACTTAAGCTGTCGTATCTCCCATCTCGTTCAGGACCCCTGGGCACCTTGACTTCTTTATGTAACCTTCTACTGGGGGGGGGTCTTATTTGCTGTGGTGGCTTTTTTCTTATCCAGTGTATTAACTGCATTTTCACTTCTCTCACTGTGTCCTGTTCTGGGTGTCCGTCTCTCCTTTCTTTCATCCCGCATGCTCTCCCTCCCCCCTCCCCCCTCCCAGTGGAGCTGTCCAGTTTGTCGCTGTGTATGACCAACTCCAAACTGGGCGAGCCCTGTTTCTATGTCGTCGGCCGGACAGAGAACATGCGGTTGGTAACCGTTCCTGTTAGTTTGTCATTTTTTTTACTCTGCACCTTCTCCTTCTAACGCTCCTCCTCATCCTAGGCATGCAGTCTGACTAAGTCACGTTACACGTCAAGCCGGCGAAACACGGCGGTTAAAGGGGTAGGACTGTCCCATCGATAGGCAGCGAGCTGCAGAGTAACAGAACCTCCATCTTCACCGGAGTGAATAGGGCAGAAGGTCCAGTTCTTACCTAAATACAAAAACGGCTCGCATTTGGACCAACCTGAAAGTGCTTTGCAGATCACTGACATGCCGATCAATTTGCCGATTATGTAATGATTTATACGAGACGAAGCTTTAGAAAATATAAAGACAGCGTCACATGTGAGGAGCTGGACCTTCTTAAGAAATGTAGTTTCTGATTTTTACAACATGACCTGGAATTCTTCTTTGAAGCCATTTAATCGTTTAGTTCTGGGATATTGCTGGATCCAGTAAGCTAAACACGTGCAGTCAGCTGGACTGGCTTTAGTCAGTAGCTGCAAATTCCTGCTTCTTCTTCCTGCTCACCTCTGTGGCTCTTTGCCTCCCCAGTGCCATTTGCATTGTGACTCAGGGAAAATTGCTGCTGATCTGTTGGTGCTGCTGTTTTTGTGTGTAAATGTGACGCCGGACTGTCCTTCCTCACCCCCCCCTGCAGACCGTGATCCCCGCAGAGCCCCCTCCTTCTCCCCACTCCATCCTGACCACCCGGGTGTGGCTCCAGTAGGCGTCTCTGACTCCTTCCTCCCCCGGAAGAGTCAGAGATCAAAGGCGGCGAGGTACAGACAGGCTGGCCAAGGGTGGGGAAGGTGGGGCAAGGAGCCCTGAAATGGACATGGATGCAGAGGAAGACGGAGGGCGCAGAGGAAGATGATGTGAGAAGTCATGGACAGGGGTGGGACTAAGCTGAGACACTGGGGGGTGCCAACGGGGGGCAGTGGGCTGAAGAAGGACGGGGAAGGACAGGCCATGGAGGTGGAATAACAGGAACCAGAGTGGACCGTTGATGTCAGCTGGCGTGGAAAGCCCCGCCCATCAGTGCATACCTAATTAGGGGCTCTCTCTGCCAAAGCACAGCTGGGGTCTGAATCGGGGGCTAGTGTGTCCAAAGCCACACTAGCTGGCAGGGGGGGTGGAACCGAGTGCAGAAAAAGGACGAAGGAGACATGACCGAGACCGACGGGGACAGTAATGCCTGCCTCACAACCAGCATGAGCCCGCAGAATATTACATTACTAAAGCGGGACTGTGAACCCTCCATTGTCACTGCAGGGCAATCTGGGCTTCAAAATCCACAGTGGGCGGGGTTTTCGTCATCGACAGTTCATTGATTGCCAGCCATTGGTTATCGATGGCACATTGCAATTCCACCCATGGTGGGTTTTGAGGCCTTGATTCTCCCAGAAATCTGCAAGCCCTGGTTAGTGATGGTGTATAGACAGGGGCGCCATGAAGGGGGACGATTCCAAGGGCCTATAAAGAGACCCTAAAAAATTTGGAGCATAATTGCATTGGTCTTGATTAGAGGACCTGTATGATATACTTTATTGGGGTCCATAATTTCTAGTAGCGCCTCCCTGTACAGAGCAACTGAGGTGTTGCCCAGTGAGAAACCCAGCAAGGCCACAGTTTCACCGAGTCCATAAAAAGGCCCAGTTCTGTTGGTGGGTCCATTGTGAGATTATCACCCTTTTCAGTCCCTTTGACATTTGTAATCCATTGCAACACCTCCCTCTCCCCCCTTTTCCGGTCAGCAAAATGTACCATCCTGACTCGGTACCTCCCCAGATATTTCTCTTTGTAAATGTAGCTCTCTGCAAAAAAGACTGGAGACCACTGTGTTAGAGGTTGGTAACATGACTAGTACAAAACCCAGCTGTGGTTAAACCAATCAGCTCCCCCCTAAACACTCCGCATACATCAGCTTCCCAGGCTCCTGATCTACAGATTGTTATGAATCTGCTGACCTGGACATTCTCCATGCTCTTCACTCTGTAAATGCATAATTCCCACTAGAACTGGAATAGCCTTGTGAGGTAAATATTGCACTATAACATGTATGGCACTGGTCAAGTGTCCAGTGCAGTGTCAGTAGTAGGGCAGTGGTTCTCGGTTAGCGTCTGGGAGTGACCGGTATTGAGCTCACAGCCTAACATCCTGTTCCTGAACGCTCTGGCCATGGGACGTGGTGCCGCCCCATTTGCTGTAGCAGATCATGCCCTTGGGGCGTCACACTGTAGGAAGGGTCATGCAAATGCTGCCTGTAAAATGGAATATAAGCCTATCTAAGTACTACATGCACCTTGGACAAAGAGCTGGCCTGGGTTTTCCCAAAAATCTCACTGGTACGCTTCTTCTACTTTGAAAGAAAAGCGCAATTTATGCACTATGCAAATCGTCAGAATCCTTCTGATCGTCTCATTAACGGTTGTCTTCTGTGGATCAGTGTGTTCGACTCTGTGAATGCTGTTCCTTATACAGTGATATTTCCATAACTTTTGCTCCTTCCTGGCATCTAATACTCAGCTTCCAGCGAGCCCCTAGTGCGTCCTTGGGCGCGAAGAGCGGTGGAAAGGATAGGAAGGTGTTCAGTGGGAATTGTAAACGCTTGTAAACAAAGAATGGTTAGCATGCCAAAATGAAGTCTGTGGTATACAGATGAGGAAACATATTTGACCTGATCTGATTTGGTTATTTTTTTCTTTATATGTTTAATGTAGGAAAAAAAAAAAACAGTATGGATCCTAGTGTTTGACTTCATTAAGAAATCTGCCCGTTTCTCTCTCCCTCCCTTTCCTTCTATCCTTTCTTTCTCTTTCCTTCTCTATCCATATCCACTTCTCTTTTTCTCTCTGTCTTCCTTGCCCTCTCCCTCTCTTTCCCCCCTCTCTCCTTCTCTGTCCACATCCTCATCTCTTTTTCCTCTCTCGCCTTCTCACTCTCTCCCTCTTCTTCCCTCCAACTCTCTGCCCCTCTCTCTGTGTCTCTTCCCCTCTTTTTTCCTCTCCCTCTCCCGTTTATTAAATTGCATGATAGCCCCCTTCCTCAGGAGGCTAAAGAGCATTTTAATATTAATCTTCTATGCATTAGTTGAAGGCACGCTGGTAACCAAGGATGTGTCAAGGGCCTTTGAGGTGCTGTTTACCACGGACTGATGAAGCCATGAGGTCTTACAGAATCTATATATAATACTTTGTTAGGGGGATAATCTCCTCACAGCCAACTACTTATGTCTAACCAGCAGATTATGTCTAAAAATGCCAAAAGCTTCTGTATTGTTTAAAGCAATTTATTTTCCTGTGAATGTAAAGGTTTTTTTTTTTATTATTTCTCTGACACATTACTGCCATTGTTTAAGAGACGTGGAAACAGAGAATGGTGTGGGGGCTCTGTGAGGACTATTTGTAAACACATTGTGATGTCTTCAGAAAAGCTAAAGAACACTTATTTTGATTCATACATGGGCAATGATTCGGGCCAACGCTAGCTGGTTACATGTCAGGCCGTATCTTGAGAAAAACAGCCTGACTGCCGATGCGTGGAGCATCTCTGCCTGCTCATGCCCACACAAAATCTGTTTCCCTACGTCTGCTGTGCTGGGTTTTTTCTGGAAAAGATGGGTGGGGGGTGGGGGCGGACCTCACTGGCACGACGCGGAAGGCTGCTGTGGCATACGGTTTGATTTTGCAGCGTGACCACGCCGTGCGTCTACTGCCGCTAAGCAATAGGCTTGCGGGGGACATGGGGCCAGCTGGACTGGGCCATTTTCCGCTCTGAGGCCTGGGAGCAGGGGGCACATGCTGGGCCGGTGATTTAGCCACGGGTTTGAGACTGGGGTTTTGTCCAGAAAAGACCCACCCGGCACGTGAGCCTCCCATCCTGATTGGCCAGTCGCAGCCACACCCACCTCAGCGGCCTGTACCTATGTGAATATAAACAGATATAAAAACAGCTATACAGATTTTTGTTTTCATTAATGCTGTATTATTACTGTTTGTCTCTGGATGCTACAGGGAGTTTGAAAATGAACTATATTACAGGTACCGAAATAAAGTGCTTGAACATGAGAGGCTTTTAAGTTCATTCTGTCTGTGGTGCCTCAGTTACTTATTTACAAACATCAGGAAGGTCTATAGGGCAGGGGTCTCCAACTCTGGTCCTGGAGAACTACTGTCCAGTAGGTTGGATTCTGCTGAGTCAGGTAAATGCCAGGAACAGGTGTGGCTCGTCAGAAGGCAGGTAGGATAGAAAACCTACTGGACAGTAGCTCTCCAGGACGACCCCTAACTTAGGGAGTCGCACAGGTGACAATTCAGAGTTGTGATGTTATTTCCTATCCAGCAGAGGGCAGTACTCCACACATTGCATGTCTATCTCAGTTCAACCCCTAAGCGCAGCTTTGAGAAGAACAGAGGTGAGTTTACTGATGTTCACTGAACAGTGACCATTTGTCTGCTGACAAAAGATTATTCACAACCAACGAATGCTTCACATTTCCTCGTAGTTGAAAGTTGTGTTTCGGGGGGCCGATACGAGTTTTGAGATAACAGAACAGAGAAAACGCGGAATAAAATTTTTTTTATAAATGGTTACCTTTGATTTTTTATTTCAATATATTTTTATTTCAATGAATTATCTTAATTTTTGAAAACCTTCAACCCAGATTAAAACACATTGCTAAAACAAAATCCTCAGAGATAGCAAATCAATATATTTACAGAACCCCCACAAACACAGAACCAAGACCCCCGAAACCCCCTTCACAGTAGCTATCTTCTTAAATCCCCTTTTTGTAGGTTTCGTCAGTCTCTGCACTGACTCACACTGCCATACTCACCGCAACATTAATGGAAGGGCTATTTTCCCTATTAGTTTCCTTGGCAACAACCTCTTCTGGGGCAACTTCCAAAGTGTATTCTGGGGAAAAAAAAAACCTTCTTCAAACTCATTCTAAAAGGTTTCCTGGCCAATCAAATTGGTAGTGACATTTATCTGTATATGTTAAAAAGAATTTTTATAAAGCGAGAATCAACGGTTAGACATAAAAACAACTCCAGGAGGAGTAGAAACCGCAGTGTAAGTGGGGCAGGGGCTTATGTGAGGCTAAAATGAATGGAGATGGGGGAAGGAGATGGGCGAAACTGGCAGATCTGTTTCCGGAGATGTCCGCGAGAAGATGCCTGCATCGGCGGGGTAGAGCTGGCGTCCGGCCCTGGCAGCTGTTGACGTGAGAGGTTTGGGATGCGGAAGCGGCTGCACCTGACCACAGCAGTGTCCTCGGATCCTGCCGCCCCCTCAGTCTCGCTGGGAAAAAAAAAAATCACACCTCAGGAAGGATGCTGGTGGTAGGTGTGGGATGGAGCTAAACCCAACGCTTTGTCAAGTGCTTATAAAAATAATAAATAAAAAAAAACACGGAGGATGGACAACTGGATCTTCTTCACACAAGAGGCTGTTGATGAATTTGTCAGATTGGACAGGAAGGGGGTTTAGGAAGCTGTTCCTTTGAAATGTGACAGAATGTCCACTCACCCTGGCCAGGGGGGCTCCCAGTCAGGGTAAGATATAATGATCTGCCCTTCCCCCCTGCTTCCTGTGCTGCTCCCCTGACCCTATGCCCCCCACCTCCTCTCTCTCTCTCTCTCTCTCTCTTTCCGGAGGCAGTGTGTGGGCTCTGGCAGAGTGTCCTGAATGCCTGTGATTCACCATCCCTTCATCTCCACTCTTCCCTCTGATTTCATCTGCCCTCTCTCCCTCCCTGTCAGTCTCTCCTGATCCCTCGTTCATCCCTTCATCCGGTCCAGGATTGGCTCTTACGTAATGTCTCCCTTTCACCTGGTAGCTCTTGGTGAAATACCCCAGGAGGGTAACTGGGAGACATCAGGGGTATTTACTTAACACAGGGAGCCACAAGTCCTGCGGTTTCCTGAAATGTGCAGGAAAGTGCATTTTCGGAGATAAATAATAATGAGAAGTGTTTGTGGGTTTTATTTAAATTAGACATATGAGGAGAATGGATGTGGTGTTCTGGGGAGGATTCATGAAAAAAAAAACCAAGTTTATAAAAGGCTTTCAGCTGTAGTGCAGCCCCCACCACCCCCCCGGTTATAAGACAGAATTGATGAAATGGATAAGGCTGACTAAATGAGGTGATCCAATTCAGTAAAGAAACTGGCCAGCAGGGCGGCGCACATACAGTATGAATAACAGGGAAGCCTTCCTGCCTCATGCCTTCAGGGTCATGAGTTCAAACCCAAGTGTGTTAAGTCGGCGTACTGCTCCTGTACTCATGTGGGTATCTTCCAGCTTCCTCCCACATGATCTAACGCCCGTCTGTAAAATGGTGAATAAATTACTCTTTATGCGTGTGTGTTGCTTCCCTGAGTTAATTTTCTGCTGGCTCCTGATTACTAAATAAATTATTATTTATATGTCTATGATGTGAAAATATACAAGCGTGGATATTAGCACCAAATACCTGTGGGTTTAATCTAAATTGGATTTTTTTTTTATTTGTTTGTTGCCTTTATCCGAAATATCCAGCAATGTTCACAGGTCTAGTCACCGCTTCTTAGGCTGTCCCACATAGTGCCCACTAATGCAGGCTGCAGGAGGACATGGAACAGGGGACAGCAATCTTCAGGGGACATTAATCTTCTGGTGACTGTCTCAGTTGACTTTGACCTACGTCATTCCCTTAGACACCCCTTGCTGCGTCTTGCCTTAGTGGGGTGATAACAAAAAACATCAAAGCTGAACGAAGTTCCTGGGACATAATTTCATGTGACATGTAATTCTAATTAAATCACTCAGGCTGAGAAAAGACACATATGGGTAAGACAGTGTTTCTCAATCCGGTCCTTGGGGACCCACAGACAGTTCACGCTCCCTCCCAGCTCCCGGTAGGGAGCAAAACTGTGGACTGTTTGCCAGGGAGCTCGGAGGGAGCAAAAACATGGACTGACTGTGGGTCCCCGAGGACCAGATTGGGAAACACTAGGGTAACATATAATGATTCACAGGCTGGTGTGAGGATCCCATTTATAATAAAGCTGGAACTAGCGCTAAATGTGGGCTGCATCAAAGGGAAACAGCTGCATTAATTACCGATTGCACTCAGTGCAGTGTTAAGGGTAAACAGCAGATCAGACCTGACAGCACTCTGGAAGCCCCCCATTTTGAGCACAAGGCGACATGTTAGGAGTCCCTGTACCTCATAGCTGAATGTTATGTTCCAGAAAAACGAAAAAATCCACTGTCTCTGATGCTAATCTGGAAAAGCAGAGGCTAGGAGGGACCTTTCGGAGGTCTAAATGGAGCTGGGAAGCTAAAATTGCTGTCCTTCTCTGTGGGGTTTGTTTGGCTGGCATCAGGAATCACGCTCGCAGCTATCCATTTGGAGATAGGCACCTGGGGTGGGGTGGGGTGGGGGGGCATTGGCAGGGTGCAGGCTGTTTTAGAACAGGAACAACATGGATCAGGGTAAAAATGACCTTTTGTAGGTCCCCTGTACAACCACCCCCTACCCCTTTGTGCCTTTCTGTGGACGATAGGAGTAGATAATGAAAGCTAAATATCTGTTCTTTTGGTGGAATCGGGAGGGGGGGGGGTCATGCCCTCTGGAAGGGAAAGATGATTGCCGGAGAGGATGGACAGGTAGGAGACAACAGACAATGAGGTCGCCAAGTCCCTCCATTAAATGGTCGTTCATGATTTAACTGACAAAATCAATATTTTTGTGTTTTTTAGTTTCAGGCTGAATTTAAAGACAGGAATTACACCAAAGCCGGATGCTGAGAGACAGCATCGCTACTCTCGTGTACGGCTGGGATGGGGATCTTCTCCGCAAGAAAAAGAGTAGAGGGGATGGAACATAGAAATGGAAAACAGAAAGAAGGGGACAGGGAGGAGACAAGGACATATGGAAGAAGAGGACAGCGAATGAAGAGGATAGGGAAAGACAAGGACGGGAAAGAAGGCAAAAAGAGAAAAAAATAATAGCAGTGCAACCAGCCATTGCGTATCTGCTAGGAAGTGTGGTGATTTTTCTGCCGTTGCCATGGTAAGCATCACTGCACTGACGGCAGTGGCCTGCTGGGAAACGTGCAGCCCAGGAAGGTACGAGAGCTAGTGGTGATGAGGAGCAAGGGGAGCGTCTGGGGCGGAGCTTGTAGGGGAACAATTTAAAGAATAAACATGGCGTAAGAGCGGAGAGGACGAGGCAGCATGTGAAATGGGTTCTGACACCAAGGACAGGTGCCTTTGGAAAAGCAGGGGGAATCAGAACAGCGATGGGGGAATGAAGGGAATGCTCTGGGTCCGGATCTCCTGTTGGCATGTCGGGAATGAGCAGTGGAGGGCTGCGAGGATGGAAGGAGCCGCTCGCTGTGTGTCCAAGCTCCGCCCACACACATCCAGCACCCCCAGCTCACACAGAGGCCCCTCCACCCACTTACACCCACACACAACGCTCATACACTGAGCTCCACCTAACTCGGAGATGTCCAAGATCTTTAGATGAGACACGTAGGGCCAGCCTGGGCAGGACACCTTGGGTTTCCCATATTCCTCCCCTGCTTGCCTATGGCTTCTACATCCTGGAGCTTCCATCTCTTCCTCCTCCATGCCCAATGGCACCGTGTCTGCTTTCAGCATTCCCAGTGTCTCCACATATTATTCCATCCCGTGCGAGGTATTCCCTTTCCTTCTATCTTCATCTCTGGGTTTTCCATTTCAGATTTTGGCAAGATGCAGGGGAAAAGACCTGAGGCAGGTGATGGCATCAGGCGAAGGTATCAATGACTGGGAGAGCGGTCCATCCTGCCCTGCACTGCCCTGCCCTGCCAATGCCTCGTGGCACGAGCGCTTCCACCATCTGCTCAGTCATGACTGAAGCCAGAGACATTTGTGCAAGCCTGTCCTTTGGAGCTGAGTTGCTAAATGGGATTGGATCTCCAACCACTTTAATTAATGACATTTGATTGGTCACTTACAAAATGCTCTAGATGTCACCACTAATAGCATTTAGGAGCTGAAGATTACAGAAGAGGATGTTACAGGTGAAAGC